ACTGGACTATTAGATACAACACTAGATAGTACTTGTTCAAGGAGATTGGAACTGACATCTAGGTTTTTCCCCGAAGCCATCAGTTCAATACAATAATAATATAGATCACTGTGTCCCATATGTTCACCATTATTGTGAGGTTAATTTGTGCAGGTCGATTTTGAAGGTCGTTGCAGGTAATTTTCAATAATAAGTAGACTTCTGGTAGGAAGTAAATGGTTATGAAAAGATAAATTGAATTTGTAGACTGGTCAAATCTCAAAATAGATTTTAACTTCTGAGATATTGTAGCTATGATTTTGAAAAATATTGGGTCAATTTGAAGCAAGTTGAAAACTGGCCATTCTGAAAACATATCTCAAAATAACTTTATTAACATGACAAAATGTAACCAACTAGTTATTCACAATATCATTGAGAACTTGTAGATGATTTTGAAAAAATGGTTAATTTGAAGCGAAAGACCTGACCGATTGAAGTCAGTCTAAACAGTATTTGTTAAGTTATCAGAAGTTTTAAGAATTTGTTACAAATTTGTTACAGACACCAACCACCAACCGCCGTCAAAAAAATGGAGACCATAACAATATGTTACCACTTTTTGGTGGTGACATAATAACTAGATTGGTGAAATTGAACAAGTTCAATTCAAGATTCCAGATTCCAGATTTTAATTTAAAAAGTAATTTTGACATCTGATATTGATGAGAAAATGAGAAAGAAAATGTACATTTATATGCTCTATTCTTACCAAATTTAAAACCAAAATATTGAACTTTAGTGTGATAAAAGCAAAAATTAGAAAAATGACCTAAATTTAGATCTTGACCTTTACACTAAAAATTTTGAGTTTACCAATTTTTTAAGGTCTTTTAAGTCGAAATGAAGATATCAAAAATTTGACATTTTTTAACTTTAAAAGGTCATAGAAGGTCAACTGGAAGTCCAATCAATTTCAGATTAGGAATCCTGATTTTCCTATGAAAATGACACGTATCTCGATGGATTTGAAGAACTTTGACCTAGATAAAAATTTGACCTAATTTCCAAGAAACTAAGTCACATACCCTTACTGATCGTCTGGAAAAATGAAGCGATTTATAGCAGTAAGTATACAAACTTTAAGCCTATTACAGCATAGCTCCATTGTGAAGCAACTATCAACATTTTCTCACTCCACCCCAAGCCTGGCCTTGGGAAATGCAACCTTTTACAAAAGTGGTAACGAAGACATAGGCTAATAATAGTGAAATTAAATTATACAGAACTTGAGGTTCAGGTTATTTGTTCAACCAAGGGATTCAAATAGCCTGAACCGACAATGGGGTGATCATTTCATTCCATAGCTACATCTATCCTGGAAAAGTTGGCAATATTTCACTTTTCTTGAGCCTTCTAACACCTTTATCCACTGTATCAAGCGCCAAATAAAGAAATTCTCCCTCTTAAAACTGTTACCCCTGTCTCAGGCATGTATACACTAATCTGTTTCCCCTGAATGAAGCACAAAAAAGAAATTTGCCCTCCTTTCTAAACTGCTACCCCTCTATCATGCAAAAATGGAATGAATAGTCCTTCAATTTTAGTTGTCAAGTTTAGCAGTGAAGAACTTTTAAAATGTAATGACCTAATTCTATGACCTTGACCACTGGGCTTTAAGATTTGAAGGTCAAGTAAAGGTCAGATATGACCTCCAGTCAACTTACTTATATTATATATGATTTTCCAAAACAATTGGCACTCAAATCTGAAGCAAGCTGAAAGTGTCAGTTTTTAACATCTCAAAAAATGGTGAAACATTTATTGGTTGGAGGTAATGCTTTTTGGAAGTTACGATTAAATTAATTGCAAGAAATGTTGAAGTTTAAGGCCAAACCTCTAGGAACTTTGACCTGACGTAAAATGTTGTTCTTGACCTACATACAAAATATTTTCCCAGCAAGTCCATCTAGTTCCCCAGTAGGAGCATATAGCATGACTATTACTGATGCCTAGCTAGAAGCTAGGACTGTTAGGAATAACAATATAAAGTATAAATACAAAACCATAGGCCAAAAGACAGGCCTCCTAATAATAAAACTAAATGATAACGATATTGACAAAAAATAGAAGGCCCCAGACTAAGGGCCTTCTTATAATCAACATAATATGTCTGACTTAAGGTTTATTGATATTAATTACTATGTTTTTCTTCAGCAAAAATATAAATGTGTACTTATAACTGTATCTGTGTATTCCTATGTAATTTTTGAGGAATATTCAAGAATATTGATGAAAAATATCCCCAAAATTTCATAAATATCCTATGGACTGCATATACTCTTATGCTTTATTTTAGCAATGTATTTGTACTATAAGTAGAATAAGTAAAGAAAGAAGTATATCCAAAGTAGATGAGGTCAGGCTTCTTATATACATTTCATCAACTTAGGCGTATCATTTCCTTATATTTCAACATAATATAGATCCCTTCTGCCAAATGTCTCATATAGCCTTTTCACCCCTAGTATCCTCTATTTCTATGCCTGGCAAGATTCATGTACAATTCTAGTTATCAGCCTCCACACATCTTTTATTCATTAAAAGGTTAGTAACTGTTTGTAAACTAGTACAATAATATGCCCTGTTAAGAAACTGACATTCTGTAGTAAAGAGGAAATTCTGAATTAGGGGGGGGGGGGCTGTTTATTATCTGTTAATTGAATGTACATTGGGTAAATTGGGCAATCATACTGGGTATACTGGTAGGGCAGTCTTTGACAAGCAAAACAACCCAGATGGATCCACAGACCGCCAATATAAGCAAGCAAAGCACATCATTTTAATGAGGGTGAAAGTGAACTGTTTCTAGGACACATACTAATATATAACCTCTCTAGAGTGAACAATACTTAATAATTATGAATAGGTTTTAAGTTACAACAGGAGTCCATGAGATATAATATTCAAAATATGAAAATTAAAGAAAAACAATTTGAGGTGTTCACTTCAAACAGGTGTTCAAAAAATCAGCATATAAACTTTGAACAAAATCCGTCACCTGGTATTTCAAAAATCTTATAACTTGTAATTAAGTTATTAAAACTAACATTCTTTCATGGAAGATGGTGGCCATTTTGAATTAGGCAGTCATTTTGAAAATGTCTTCTTAAGTAAAATCCAATGTCCCAAAGGCATAAGCATATAGATTTTGAACCAAATCAGTCAACTAGTATTTGAGTTATCAAAGATGATATTTTTGGGTGGCCATATCGACAAGGCATAATTGAATGGAGGTTCTTTGCTAATAAGACTACTCACTAAAAAACCAAGTAACTAAATCTATTTCAATATTATATCTACAGAGGAATATACAAGGGGCGATCCATATATTCTGATAAAAATGCTCTCATTTTGTGATTTTTTCACATATCCTTTTCATTTTTTCAGAACATGTAGATTATGTAATTACACATACGATGCTAAAATATTTTAGCTGTATCTTAAATTAATTTTGAAATAAGGTTGCCATGGTAACCTGTATTTAGGGTAGGCAGGTCAGTTAAATTATAACGTCTAAAATAGATAAATATGTTAATTTAATCATTCCTCGGTACCTATTTTAAGCAGATCAAACGCATCTTCCAGTCATTGTCAACTATTCATTGATCTGTTCCATACCCCTGTTGCCCTTGTTTGATAATTTATACAGTGGGATATAGCTATCTTTTCATAAGTAACATCTCAATTTATCGTAGTGTTATTCTCTGTCCGCAAGCTCTTCTTGCAACCAGATTGCGGATGATCTTCAACAGTGACCATGTTTTACCTTTACAATACTACCTATATATTCTTTATGCAGATATAACACCTTGGCCATGCACTTTATGAGTCCATGTATGTCTCTGACAGTGTCCTCTTACTTATTCTTGAAAGAAAATCAAATCTAATGGTATTCCCTAATGTATCCGTTAATGTGACACTCTGCATCAGCCACATTAACCTAATCTGACAATTTGATTTTTTGTGTGTCTCATAACATGTTATGTCAATTGGCCCATTCTGCACATGCACATCTACATATTTTTGCAGTATAAATGTAACAGATCTTTAGAACTCATGTCACGTCTATCCAACTGCAAGGTTGAATGAATATCATCTGAAGGTGACAAATTAATCAATAAATACCATTTTCAAAATCAATATCAATTGAAAGTCATTTTAGATTATAAGTTTCTAGCTTCATATTAATCAGGGTATATAGGTGGCGCTAGCTTTCATCAGATGGAAGGTTATCAATTAAATATTCAATTCAATCTTTTCGATTCTAGATTTTTTCTGAACGCATCTATAACCAGTCAGGTTAACAGTGTATGATTTTTCACCTTTAGCTAAATATGGTCTTGGAGTCAGGAAGGATGTTCTTAATAAATGGCGTTTAAGAACACTTTGCAAGCATTTTCAGTAAAAGGGATGTCTTGGATGAAACTCTCAACTAGTGAACTAATGGTTAGCTCTCAGGTCATCTCAATATGTAACTTTATATGTAATTGAAGAAATAAAAATAAAACTTTTTAAAAAATATATTAGGTAAAGTGATTATTTTGAAAAAAATAATATCAATCGACTGACTGTCATAGTTGTTAAAGATAGCCATCTTGCATCAAGGTCACCATATTGCAACCCAAGAATGACTCAGTAAAATTTGTCCCCACCAGCGGATCTAGACGGGGTGTGGGGGGCGCACGCCCCCCCTAAAGTCGAAAAATTTGTGTTTTGCCTCATCGCTTTTTACAAAATTTGACTCTTCGCACACAGTTATTATCACACGCCCCCCCTAACACAAAATCCTGGATCCGCCCCTGGTTCCTTAACATATTCTGACATACTCAATAATGAATCAAGTAGTATCATTTAGAAAATTCATTCAAGACAAAATACAAATGGATTTGATGGTGTTATGCCACTTTAATAAGCTGTTAATATAAAATTGGGAACAATAAAATAAAAACATAACTTACCATAAAGTTGAGAATCAATTATGTTGTTTTACACTTCTACGTCATCTATTTGCAAGTCTGCAATTTTGCCTGTCACTCCTTCCTGCTGTTTAAAAGGTTTCAGGAAGTCTCAAGCGCTTTTATTTTCTGATTGCTATCTGGTTCTGCAGCGCATACAAATACAATGTCACTGGCTGCCTTTGTATATATATACTGTAAAACAAACAAAAAGAGACATTTAAAAGTACATGTATCATTGAATCACAAATACAAGGATACTGCCTTGATAAAAGTTCTATTACTGTTTGTAAATAAAGGTAATAAAAAAATCGCCTGATGTATATACAATGATCAAAATCACTCTTTTTTGGGTTATAGTAAATAGCGTAAAATAATACATGTAAAAAAATATGAACAAAATCGGACCTACAACTTATATTTACTTCTACCTTAAAAAATTGGCTATCAACTGTCAGTCATGTTTAATCATTTTCAATGCTTCAACTTTTGTCCAAATGAACACAGTAATAAATCTAGGATTATTCAATTTATGTTTAGATACTTGTACAAACACCTTTATTGTGAGTAATTGATGATAATGTAGAATGCAATGAGCCTGTAACAGCATTGACATAGTTTCCCAAAATATGTGTTTCATTAGCAGCAGGCAACAGGCGATTTTCACTGGTTGTTTTCACAAAATCGCCTGTTGTTTTTAAGGACTTTTAAACTTTCCCATGTTAAATTTATGATTGCCATTACTTTTACCTGTTGTTTACATTTATTTAGCCTGTTGTGAGAAATTCTAGTGAAACCCCTGCAATTTCAAAATTATAACATTTCCACCAGACAAAAAGATGCAAAATTATCAATTAATTAAATATATATCACACTGAAATGCTGATTCAGTATGACATACATTTATTAAAATTCCACCAACATTTGAAAAGGTTAGAGCTTACCAGAGGCCTTGCCAAAGAAATGTTTGTAGATAGTGAAGCCAAACAATAACAAGAGACGGATATTGAAAAAATCGTATATTGTATCTCGGGGCAAAACACTATATTAAGGTTTAATATTAGAATTGGAAGTATCACTAGAAAAATATTCATACAGGATACCTTTATAGGGTTCCAATAAGCTTCCAATATAAAAAAAACAATATGGCGGCTCCAGGCAAGTCAACTGGATCAGTCCAATTTCAAGAAATAAGATGAGTTTTGTAAAATCCAGTCAACTGAAATAAGTAGAGGGTGATATAAATGACCACCTCTGAACTAAGGTTCCAATATACCATTGGAAAGCTGAAAGGGTCAGCTATAATAATCTGACCTCCATTTGAATTTTTAGTGAATGCAAAATTAGATATTAACCCTTTCATCCCCTAGGGGTCATTTATTAATTTTATGAAAATCAATTTCAAAATGACAAATACCCTTGTGGCCAGAATGGATTATTTTTAGGTTTACAATAACTAATTCAATGTCAAATTATACATCATTAAGTGCAGTGGCCCCATTATGCTACAAAATGCTTCAGAATTTTTGTTTTCTGTCGAAAAGAGATTTGATATTTGAAAATAGTGTGTAGTACCAATACACCGTTAGAAAGCTGATAAAAATCACTAAGGAGCGCACTTGGAGGCTCTATTTCGTACTTGGAGGCTCTATTTCGGTCAAGTAAATTGTCTTGGAGATAAAGTAATCTGTTTTTAATAATTCTGAAAACATTATTGAGAGAGTAAGTGTTCAAAGAATGTACAACAGCCAATATAAATCCTTGTATTAGAACTGCTTTGTTTCATTTGGAGGATATTTCATATGCCAAGCTATGTACTAATATGTTATAGAAATTTATATGTCAAATTTTCCCTTAGTATACACAAATAGAAGATCCCGAAAATTCACCATAAATGAGAAATTGATTTGTCAAAATGAAAATCTCTCTTTTATAAATGTGTGATGATCTTTAATATACTAATGCTATATAACAGTTACAGGTGTTGACACAATGACTTCGAGCCTGTGAACCCTGGAGCATTATTCCGCAATCGGGCCTTTTATACTTAATGGTGAGCAACACCAGAAACAAGCGTTCGATTTGCTTAACGATATGTGTCACCCTTTAAGGTGTATATACCTTATTGCAAGATATTGTTCAGAAGCCATCAGAACACATTTCACACGCTCCTATCACCATCAAATGTTTTTGATATTGATTTCAGTAACTTCACTGAATCTTGATGCCACATAGTTTGTCAATAAGTAAAGGGAGTTTCTATATGGCTGAATAAGCTGATATCATAATGTTTAATTTTTGTTTTGCTTGGGCCAGACTGCCATTGACTTATACGTTATAAACTTGCAATTAAAGTCACTTAATTTAATGATTTATGACAAAGTGTTGGTTGAATCTGTCTAAAACTCTAATGACATACTATAGGATGATCATATCAATGTGCATAATGTGATTAATCATGAAAACTTTGGAAAAATTGTCAAACGAACTAACAAAGATTTAAAGAATTTTAGCATTGCATCAATGGAGATTTTTTAAAAAAAAGTTATGGAGGATGATTTAAATGACATATCTGTATAGTTCAATGTTATTATTGTAGAAAACGTTTCACTGGATTCAAATATGCCATTAAGAAAAGGTAAGTCATTAGAGGTTTAATATGCAAATCTCTTAAAACCTCATGAAAAAACGAGAATTAGTGAGATATCAAAGCTATATAGAAACTTCTCTATTATAAACATATATCAGTACCCACATTTGTAGACAAGCTCAAACACCTAAAAGTGAGAGCATTTCAAAGAAAACACCTTTAATTAGGATGACGCTAGTGCAGATTCATGGTGATGTAAATGAAACCTAATATTACAACTCAATTGTCTTGCATGTATATCATCCAATAAGGATAGTACACCTAGGGTGTTTCACTTTTCAACTTTTTTTCCGTCTCAAGATGGAATGGTAGAGGAAAGCAAGCACAAAAAAATTCAGTTAAATCCGTTGACGTTTAGACCTCCTGCTACACAATTTCCTGACGCCTATTCACTACCATGTAAATAATTGTCTGAAAATTGCAGAAAATGTCATTTTCATCATATTTGAGACCTATGTTCTTTCAAGGCACTTTTGAGATTTTCATCAAACTTTCCTTGCAGAACAATACATGGCCGCTTTGATTTGTGACAAAATCTCTTGCGATGGTTCGATCCTCCGTTGAATTTTTGCCATTTTTAGGGGGCCATAACTATATATTTAGAACACATAAGGTCCTGGACTTTTAAAAGGTGAGACCTGATTGCCTAATCTGATGCATTTGTAATTTTTGGGATCATAGGTCCTCTAGAATTCATGCTATCAATGCCTGAATCTTGCTAAAAAACTGATGCAGGTTAGCATTACTGGTACATGTATATAGCAAATTCTTATAAATCAATAACTAACCCCCCCCCTTGTTAGCTTCTGGATCTGGATCCAGTAACTCGTGTGTACAATTTAGTAAAACAATTATCAATTATCAATAAATTATCAAGAATCAATAAAAATGCAACTATTTAAGACTTATCAATAAAATCAAAGTTCAATAACAGTTGATGTTCTTCTAGGTCCTAATAACCTACACTTTGGATTTGACTTCACTTCTTTCAAAATTAATGTGTTTGTAATAAACATAGAACATCTCAGAAGCACTTGTTGGCATAATCTGACTCTGAGCCCTCACCCCCGTGTGACTGTAAACCTCCTGTTCACTGTCTGCAATAGCTGAGCCGAGTTGGGTGAAAAACAATGATGTATTGGCTGAGGGCTGGCAAAGAATAGAATGGAATCAGAACAGATTTTGGAACTTGCCTTCAGAATTCAAAACTTTTGTAATTTCGGAACCAAATGTTTATAATGTTTAGTTTATATTAGGGATGGGACGGTTCGTTTCGGTTCGGTTCGGTTTTTCGGATCATCAGCCGTCTGTTCGGTTTTTTCGGTTCGGTTCATTCATTTTAAGGATTTGTATTGATTGACATGATTAGCTGCTTTGTCTCTGACTTCACTGCTGACTGTCACTTTCTTTTATCCAAACGGCTGATTTTAGCTTTGTGGGGGCTGCAATAATCTTCATTTCTTTTGGGAAAACGGGAATTTGAGATCCTGAGGCCTAATTCATGAAAGCTCCGCAAGCTTGCGTGTCCGCAATGTAATTGCGGACCTATTGCGTGTCCGCAATTTATTGCGTTACGTCGTATTCACAAAGCTATCCGCAAATCCAGGGCGTGTCCGCATGTTATCTCTGTGTCCGCAAGCCATCTCCTTTACCAGTGTCACTAATTAAGACACCTATGTCAGTTAGACCCCTTATAGCGACCCTTGTAAATTTTGACCTCGGGTTGACATTCTGCTTCAAAAAATGGCAGACGAGGTCGGAAAACAACGCTCGGAGGCTTTCTCCAGTATTCAATTAGAAGTTATGATGGACATCAAAGAAAAAAAGTATGATGTGTTGACGCATTCTCTAAGTCATGTTAGTGATCTGTTAACGCTTAAAAAAAGAATGAGGCATGGGATTGCATTGTGAGGGAGGTAAGCTTAGATCACCAGTAGGCCTATCGGCGTCTTGAACCCATAATTTTACGTCCCGTTAGATAATATATTTAGAATTTGTTGCTGATATGCGTTAAATTGAGTAAAGTTGTAAATAAAATTATCTTATTGACCTACAGTCAATTTATCTAAACTGTAATTTCTTATAGTATCGGAATAAAGTAACATATTGTATTCCATTGTACTGTTGTATCTCCCCGGGTGTATCTCAAACAATATTTGCACTGATTTAATTCCTCACTGGTCGATATCAAGCGAAGGTAACTGCCGTCACTTTCGCATTCGAGATGGTAATAGATAAACCCACAACCACGGAACCAGTATATACAAAGGCGACCCCAAATGACTTCAATTGTTTCTACACAGTTATTCATAAAAACACTGGAAACAAAAAAATCTGTAAAAATTCGAGCGACGCTTGCTTCATGTCTGGTTGTTCTTCGTCCTAGGATCTAGAATGATAAGTTCATCATTATTTACTCTAAATTGCGGTAAAAGAGACGCATTTTGTAATTCCCGGCATCCCCCAATAAATATCTGTCAATCGATGCTTTCCACACCATTACTAATATAATATCATTTCAAAACAGTTAATAATGATTGAAAGAAATATTCAAGAAAAATCTTCTGGTTTTCTTCGCACGTAAATCTCTGTTTCTTTTTAACATTTCTCCTTAATCTGATCTAGATATCATTAAATTAATATACTTTGTTTAGATCGATAACTAACAATTTCTAATGAAAATATTCGGGGAAAACGAGTCCTTCAATTCGGGGGATCCTCTGGGGATTTTACAGTGTTGTTTATATATTTGTTAATTTTAGCGATCTTTTAATACCGTAAACTCACCATATACTTCTGAAATGGCCATCAGGGAAATTTTCGGAAAGTTAGACCGGGGAACCCTCGAACCCCCGGTGGCTACAGAGTTGTATACCATCTAGAGAGGTGAATAATGATAAAAGTTATAACATAATCGAGAGCGAAATCTACTTCAAAATATATCCCCGGGTGATATTGAAATTAGCAGGATGATATGGATATTAGATATGATACACTCCCCTCCATAAGTTTGGCAACCGTTCTTGTGTTCATGGATTGACGATGACAAATAGCTACCAGAGGGTACTTATTATTCATATTCAAAATGTACATAATTGAAGTTGCGGTGTTCCGCAACATTGAAAACCTTAAAAACTACTCATAACACATTGCTTTTACATCCATATTTGAACGTCTATATCACTTTCTAATTTTTATTTTATTTATTTAGAAAATTGTCCTGATGAAAGGACGATATATGAAATACACATGTACGTATTTCCATCGATAAAAGCTAATGTTAAATGTGTTCTCAAGGGGATTGATTACACTGAATTTCCAGAGAGTGACTTGCGGTAAGTACAGAGGTACCGCACGATAATGACGTAATTCTCGCGGTACCGCAAGATATCTGCGGTGATGCTGATTTTGCGGCCCTTTTGTGAATTGGAAATAGCGGTACCGCAGGGAGTTGCGGAATTCCGCAAGCTTGCGGAGCTTTCATGAATCGGGCCTCAGACGCCATATTTGAATGTATTGTGGGTGCGCACAAAATAATACCCTATATCGAACCTGCGGAAATATAAATTTGCGCAAATCTTTGTATCAATTATGCCACGTTATAACAATATTTTATAGATGGAATTTTATGTTATAGTATTTCATGAACAATACATATTATTTAGAATACACGACTAAAGAATATAGTACGAGGGACCACATGATTGATTACCGAGGGATACGAATACGTGGATACGAAACGAATCTAGTAAACGAGTGAGCTAGCAACAGACACAGACAGACAAGGTAGGGACTAGGAATATCAAAAATGTTGCTGTAAAACAGTGTTTTTAACTGTTTTATTGATACTTGACCAATGAAATATTAATCCGAAAACGATCCGAAAAGCTGATCCGAAAGTAGGGCCGTGATCCGAAAACCGATCCGAAGGCTATGAACCGCGGTTTTTCGGTATTTCGGTTATCCGTCCCACCCCTAGTTTATATAGCTTTTATATTAGCTTTTAACAATTGGCATAATACATAATTCAAAAGGGTGTGAATCATTTATTTATATTATTTATCGCATATTAAACAACTTTTAAATATCTATATTAATATAATATATCTATTGATTTTGTTTCATTTCAGTTCACTTATAACGAGTTTGCAAGTGTTCTTTACAGGAAACAATGAATTCCAAAAATATCTGAACATGAGACAGCAGTTCATCTGGTTCGGAAGGTAAAATCAAATGGTTGGAACAATAATTCCATTCCTCGTCAGCCCTAGAAGAAGGTAAAGTTGGGAACTTTCCACAATGACATTCTTACAAATAAGGGATTTGCCTGATATGAACTGATATGTAGAGAGAGTTCCTGCTGTTACCAACTTGATCAAGTCAAGCTAACCCCAGAACAGGAGGCTAATAATTTATGACTGTAATAAAGACCTATAACAAACAACCAATATATGTTTTCAGTAATCATTTATAAACAAGGTAATGTAAATGTTTCAATTAATGGAAGTTAATGACAAACATACTGTTCTCAGTGGCGTAGCCAGGATTTGGTGACCAGGAATACACTGGAGACATATTTAAACATATATCGATATGGAACCCACAACTTGCAATTTTCTTGCATGTGTATAAAATGTAAAATATACACCACCAAATAGAAAACTCATTAGCTGTTATCGTTTCATTGTCTGTTGAAAAATTATGTTGACAGATTTTAGATAGAAGCATTGTAGAACACATACAACAACGACCAAAAGTTCATTTTATTTCAGTTAGTTTCAGTAACATGACAACTTCCCGTTTTAACAGTTATTTATTGGGGCCCCCTTTATTTTCAGTGATGTGTGACTTACATAACATTTTTTCTAGTCCTCATTTCCACACCAAGTGAACTTATTTTTTCAGCTACCCTTGCCCAGCAACTATCCTGTGACTGTATTGTTATTTGACAGCTAAGTGGTGCCAAAAGAATATTTGCATCCTTCTCAATGAGAGATACTAATAATTCTTGTTCATCATTTGTCCAATTCCTTGCCCTCGACATGTTTCTTCGACTACCGTCTGTTCAATGTAAATCGATTTGCATTTTGGCGCACTTATGTCTTGCACAAGTGTACAGTAAAATTTTAAATGTTTGTGAGTACTTTGAATTTAAAAAATAAGCAATCAAATGACCAAATTGAAACAGTTTATGTAAAAATAGAAACATTTATATTTATCCTAACTTTTGTATATTTTAGTTTGTTTTTATGAAAGCCCACTACAAATAGGTGAATTGTAATTTCATTATCATGCTTTGACACAGGAATGCAGTGAACATCATAGAAATCATAGAGAATGCCCAATGATGAACATGTATTGTTGATTTCTTTTATGTTAATGTGTTGATTTTTGTGTTACATTCAAAATGTCAAGAGTTATGAATATCATTAGATAATAATAAAAAAGCTTATTCACTGGTCGGTATTCAATATGGGCTTATTCCTCAAAACAATAATATGATATTCTAGAGGACCCGGAGGTTATCACATGTTTCAGCATGTGATGCAGGAAATATTCCACGAAAGGTAACTCTGTAACATCGTCGAAACCAAATCATGTGTCTAGGACCTCATCATATAACGTAATGGATATATAGAAAATAGATATGGACATAACAATTACGATAATGCGTATGGTATCTTATATCTTTGAGATTTGACCATATACTTTGATGCTCTAATTTTGATCAAATCAACAAAAAGGGGTTTTCAAATACGTTGATAAATTTTGATAATTATCCTGCTTTATTCAGATCTTCCAAATTGCTTCAAACGCGTTAATTACTTATTCCAGGTTTGGATCTAGTCATGGAACAGCAGGCCTCGAAATTAGCATTGCTAAGGTAGTGATTTGCTACCTGTTTTTCCAAAAACACTACTTGTAAATTCCTCCAACTAGCTACATGTAACTTCAGTAGTACCTCAAGTAACTACTCTCCATGTGAAGTTACATGTATACAGATTTTTCGATTGATTTGCCGATCAGCTGATCTTTGTTAATTTTTGTTCGAGCTGAATCACAACTTTTACAATTACGCGAAAGCAGACCAAATATTTTTGCTTCTGGTGTAAGATGAACATCTCTTCAACATATTCACCAATTTTCAAGGTGAACATTCTTGTAATAAACAAGAAATTAATGTGCACAAAATATTGCCGCGGTTTCCATGCGAAGGGTATCATACTGGGCCTCTAGGAAGACCAGTTTTTGTACTGATAGAGCTACCCAGAATAAATATAGTTTTCAAATCAAATCAAATCAAATCAAAACTGACCGAATATTATATTCGGTCTGTTGAATACATACTAAGGGTCATGGGCTTTCAATTAGAATTATAGTAGAGAATGTACAGGGTGTAATAGAGAAGGGGTTACTTGTACAAGGTATTATAAAGAAGGGGTGACCTGTATAGGGTCTAAAAGAGAAGGGGTGACCTTTACTAGAGTCTCTAGCCGATTTCTTGGCTAAAGGTAATTTCATCTGGAATACTGTGAACTCCATTTGAAAAAAGCTGGCCGGGGTGTCATAAATTTATTGAATATTCTAAAAATCGCCAGATAAATAAATCATTATTAATTAAAATGGGACCAGCTCAGCTCCTTGATGAGATATTGCATGATTTCGACTAAAACTAAAACAAAATGGCTCCAAGAAAAATGGCGATATTCGAAAACTGTGAAATGTGTGTATAGCTGGCTGTATATTCTAAGTTGGCAATCCAGAAGATATGAACTAATACATTGATCACTTCATGTGTGTTTTAGAATTTTTGGTGAGGAAATAAGAACAAAACTCGCAATTCAAATTGTGATGTGGAAAAATTTTACGATTACGACATGACTCGTTATACATGCAGTAATTTATCTTTGGACGAAGGCCACGATACAGTGGCCTTAGAATAACTTGGCCTTAGAAGAAGGTAAGGCGACCTGATCCACCAAACACAGGCCTCAAGAATTTGTACCTCCTTCTTGGAAGAAGGAACCCAGAAGGAACTTATTGGATGACATCTGGAACCCTGCGTTCGGAGTATGAGAAGGGGTGATCTCTAAAGGATATATGGAGAAGGTGTGATTTACTCCATCCCCGTTTATAAGTCCCCGTGTACTGATTCAACTGGAAACAATCTGACCTCAGTGTGTCCTGAGAAAAAATGAGTGGCCGAGAAATAAAAATCTAGACGTCTAAAATGTGATTTTTGCATTGTTACAAGAAACAGGCGTTCCGAGTAAGAAGACATAGTCAATATGTTTACATAATAGATAATACCAATACTCACTCGATACTCAATGTGTGTATAATTCTGCCGCAGTCACACGTAATGTTGTTTACAAATCGTGTTTTAGCTGACCTAGTTTTATTTAGCTATATAGTCTACGCAGATTTGACATACTTCTTTTTTGCGCAAATTTCATATTACAAGTTTCTTTTGAATAAGACAAATTATAATATACTTACTTTCAATTCAACTTCATATCAATGTTCTGCAACTGTAATCTTAGACAAGCTTCCAATCAAAACAATATATAGGCTCAATGACCACTTCGAACTGAAAATCACTGCTAGATTACATGGACACACTTTAACGTTTAGTGACCAAAAGGAGCTGAAAATCTCTTCTATTGCACGGACACATTTCAAAAATATATGAACGCATTTGTACCACTGTCTGACATGCTTACGGATGTCCACTGGTTATAACTTTTCTAATAAATTGGCAATTTCATCACTATATGATTAATCTATACAGGACATAGACAGGATCAGAAAATTTGTGAGACAAATGTAATTTATATAGGTACATGTAACTTGGTCCATGTATAGGCCCGGCACTAGGCCAGAGATGAAAGCATTTAAATCCAATGGACAGATGAAAGTAAGTTTGAAGATGACACTCTGCCTTCAAATGGTACACTCAGATATTGGAATCTTGACAAATGCCGTCATTTTTTTCACTTTAAGCTCTCATTTGCTCAGCTATTTGCTAGTGAAGTCTCTGCACCTTCTATTACATTTTTTGAGAGTGGGAGGGGATAATTAAAGAGAGAATCAGATCTAGCAAGCAGCCTAACAAAAAATTGTTTCAATTTTAGAATATTTCTGGCTTATGTCATTCCTTTTCATGTCTATTTTCTAAAAATCCCAAAAGTGCACACTTTATTGCAGGAAACTTAACCAATTTATAACATATCGTGAATCTTTTGGGAGATATGGTATTTGAGATTGTAAGGAATAGATTGGTAGGTCAATTGTACATGTTGCTTGTAATTTTGTCACCCCCATGATCATAGGCGTACCAGACTGTTCCAAATTCGCTCCAAATTACAAAATTTTCCTTGGGGAGAACCCCAGACCCACTCTAAACGCTGTTTTTGCTTCACTCAACTCTTGTTCCCGCGGTGGCGTACTACTTAGAAATATAGCGCTACACCCATGCCCATGATCTGATTCTGCCTTTAATTACTAGTATGTTTTGGACAACACTTAATAATGGACTGGTCCATTGCGCCTGCTTTTTAAGTCAAATCTGACAAAAAGAATAACAAACATGTATTGTGTTGTCATGTATCAGTGTATTCTTTATTTCTCTTTATCAATATAATTACAAGCATGAAGTGTTCTACTTCTGTTGTTGCATCCTTGGATGCAATTACATTACTTATTCAATATAGTTATCAATATTTTACACCTATGATGAGGTGGATAATAACTTACAGAGTATATTTTCACCCATATCCTTTCATAAATTATAGACTATGAATGTGTTCTTTACTACTGTCCTTTTGTGTTTTATAAAACATAAAATGTTGTATCCATACAGTATTAAAAGGGTTATTTCAAATGTTGTATTCATACAGTATAAAAAGGGTTATTTCAAATGTTGTATTCATACAGTATTAAAAGGGTTATTTCAAATGTTGTATTCATACAGTATTAAAAGGGTTATTTCAAATGTTGTATTCATACAGTATAAAAAGGGTTATTTCAAATGTTGTATTCATACAGTATTAAAAGGGTTATTTCAAATGTTGTATTCATACAGTATTAAAAGGGTTATTTCAAATGTTGTATTCATACAGTATAAAAAGGGTTATTTCAAATGTTGTATTCATACAGTATTAAAAGGGTTATTTCAAATGTTGTATTCATACAGTATAAAAAGGGTTATTTCAAATGTTGTATTCATACAGTATTAAAAGGGTTATTTCAAATGTTGTATTCATACAGTATTAAAAGGGTTATTTCAAATGTTGTATTCATACAGTATTAAAAGGGTTATTTCAAATGTTGTATTCATACAGTATAAAAAGGGTTATTTCAAATGTTATGTTCATTACAGTATTAAAAGGGTTATTTCAAATGTTGTATTCAATACAGTATAAAAAGGGTTATTTCAAATGTTATGTTCATTACAGTATTAAAAGGGTTATTTCAATGTGAATTTTGAGAACTGACTTCTCAAATGTCATGTAACAAATTATTTATCATTCTTTCCTTTTTTGATGTTTCATAAATGAAATCAAATGTCATGTAACAAATTATTTATCATTCTATCCTCTTTTAATGTTTCATATGAAATCAAATGTCATGTAACAAATTATTTATCATTCTATCCTCTTTTAATGATTCATATGAAATCATCCCGCAGTACGATAACCACAAGAAGCTTAATCAAAGGTGAAATCTGAGATAAAGAGCAAGATTTCTGTAAATTGATTCAATTTCATTATCTTTTTTTCTGCCAAAGCAAGCAATGTCATACCTATTAGCTAAAACATGACAAAGATCCAAAGCTCTTTTTATAAATAATAATTATTATTTTAAACAATTTACTTTTCTGCAATTTAATAATAGTAAAGAACTGCATCATTTAAAACTATGTATGAAAGCTTTTAAAGGGATTTTATATTTAGAGATAAATCTTAATGTTCCTCATAATTTTATTCTTCCTACAACATTATCATCAATTATAAAACAAACTTTCGTCCCTAACAACATAATTCTCTTTCAGGGAATATCTATATATTGATTTCCTCAATATGGTGTATCTACACTTTTATTTCACCTAAGCACACTGTCTGGAAGCATGATTTACTTTAAAATCCCCAAATACATAAACTATAAAACACCAATCATTAGACTTCAGTTTCATATAGGCCTAGTTGGTTCCAGGTTACAGAAAAACAAAAATATGCAAAATGACTGAATATCATACAAAATACATTTAGTATGACTAACAATAGAATAAAATAAACAAATCATATCATAAAATCATACTTTATCAATATCATGGGCTTTCAATTAGAAGGGTATGCAACTCTGTGTAATAAACATGAGACCTTCAAAATGACGATGCCATGTTTCCCTTTTTATGGTAATGTTTCAAAAAGTATTAGATAAATGAATATGTTTGAGTATTATTTTGAATCAGATAATCATGTTTTTATTTCTGAGTTATTTCTTAAAATCATCCATAAAATGCTCCAATTTTAAAAACCCAAAGGCAATGCTTGTATATGAAATATGGGTAAGTTGCCTACCCTTCTAGTTGAAAGCCCATGTCAATATGAAATGAAAAGTTGAAAACAGAAATAAGGTTTAACTGTAGTGTTGACTAGTAGGACCGAGTCGATTTGGTTATTTCCCCAAAAAATATTTGATTTTATATTACTGCATAGGAGTAGCAAGGCATGAGTTCAGTGAGGGAAATACATCACTAAACCTTTACATAAATATAATAAAGCATTTTATCAACTAATATTGAGGAAATTGTGTCCAAAGGTATTAATGTTTACATTGCTTGTAGATATAAATGTGTATATCTTTATGTAGTCCTAGCAAGGTTAAGAGATCAATGTATGGCCACATTTCATTATGATGTCACTCACAGGACAATGTCAATCAGATTTTATTCAATAAATGGGATAAAAAGAAAATTAATCTGTTTGCCCTTTGTCTATTTATTCAATGTAATGTTTTTTTTGAACAACCTTAACGTTATAGTTTATTGATCATTGATCATTTTTTATATTAGTTAGGAAATCCTCCGTCTCTCCTACTCCCAGATGAGTTTCTTTGATTCTTGAATCTGCGTCTCTCACGTTTTCTCGTATTGTTTCCACTCATATTTTGACTTGAATTTCCAGAATAATCGAGACCCCAATTTTGACTTGAATTACTGGTATTCAAATTCTGACCTGAGATTGAATCTTGAGTAGTTGAAGAATTTTGAACAGAAGAGGAAAACATTTGATCAGTTAAGGATCCTCCAGACCAAAAACCAGAAGTACCAATACCTCCCACTGAACCCCCAATATTTGATGGCGTTTGCTGAGGGGCTGAAGTTTTCTCAAGTTGTTCCGCCATTTTACGTAGAGACTCAGCAAGATCCTTGGAATTACCAGGTTGCCCCAAAGCTATACTTTGCATCAAACCCATGGCTTGGCTTATAGGTTGGTTCACCCCCATATTCGAACTGGTCCCCATCATTGGATTATTCATACCCATTACTTGGTTATTCATTCCCATTGTTTGGTTGTTCATTCCCATTGTTTGGTTATTCATCCCCATTATTTGGTTATTCATACCCATTAATTGGTTGCTCATACCCATCTGATTGGCCATACCCATACCACCTTGATTCATACCCATATTCCAATTCATACCACCCGTAGATTGGTTCATGCCCATACTTTGGTTCATCATGCCCATATTTTGGTTCATCATGCCCATATTCTGCATTGACCCAGCAGACCCCATCGAAACATCAGTGCTATAATTCCGACTTTGACCATGACTCCCAGAATTTGAGTACCCTGAATACAATGAAGCATCATTGTCTTTTCTGTTTCTCTGGCCTCTAGGACTTCGCTGATCACTCAAATAGCAATCACGTCTGTCTTGCTGTCTTGCTGATCTGGAATTGCGCCTATCATCAGTTCTGCTCCTACTTCGTGAATCATTTTTACGCCTTATGTCTTCCTTCAATCTATGACGTCTCTCTCTTGCTTCTCTCCTTTTTCTATCCTCTTCATTCTTTTGATGATCACTGCTAGAATCTCTGGATTTACCTCTAGCCTTATTTGACTCATTCTTCTTCTTACTTGGTTGTTTATCATGGCCTTGTATTGCTCGTTTCTTATTCATTTGTTCCTGTTGTTCTTGTTGTTTCCGTTTTAAAGCAACATTCTGCTTCTTACTATTAGACCAAGAATATTTAGATTCCATTTTCTCAGAGTCTGTGTCAGATATAATTTCAATCATTTCAGGGTCTGCTTTCTTCATGCTTTTCTTGGGCACAATCAACAGCTCTTCATAGCCAGTTCCCGCATCATGTTCACGACGGAATTGGAAGTTACAGCAATCAAGGACGGCAATATCAACAGTCCCAGTGACAATCAGGTCATTGTCACTCATGACGTGACCCCCAAGTATATCACCAGAGTCATCTTTGAGGGAGGTGTGAAGATGGAGACCATCTCTTCCCATAGTTCCCACTAGGCTTGTGATCTCATATCTTTTTGCAAAGTCAACATAGCGCTGTAAAGAAAAAATAACTGCAAGATAATTGAAAATCTCATAATGTTTTAATAACCTGATGGTATCTAAAAATAAATGAGTAATACTCTTTATCAAATACAAAATAAAAATGTCAATATTACATATATAATGCTTTATGGGTTTTGTTTTCACATCCCTCCTACCCTTATGCTTTTAGTTTCAATCAAGGCTGACAAAAAGTACATTACACATACCTCAACGGAATGTTCATGGCTGTATGCGAGTCTCAGCTTGCCTTGTCCAACATGTCCTGTACACGAGAGGATAAAGGGGGCTGACATACTAAATATATTCTGAATCTTCTTAAGAGCATGAATGATGCCTGAACCTTCCTCTAGATGCACTGTCACCACCTTCATAGGTTCCTTCCACTGGAAAAAACAAGACATATAATAATATTGGTTATTCAAATTACAAGCCATATGGTGAGCTATATAATACCCATACAAGGCATTAACATGACAAAATGTCACCATCTTGTAAGTTATTCCAAATTGCTACAGATGCCTAACTCCAAGCACTAACCACTATCCAAAAAAAGTTGGAGACTACCAATATGTAAGCACTTCTGGTGGTGACAAAAAAATCAAAAATGGCCACATAAAAGTGTGTCCAGCATGCCCAAAAACCAGCCAGTTTGAGATTTTCATACTCATTTGAGACTGGGTAAAGTATCATACGTTGGGAAGAAAGGGAAAATATTAGTTGGAATGTTCGGAAAGTAACAAAAATAAAAACTATGCATAGAAATATGAAAAAGCAACAAAAATAATGAAAAAAGGTTTGGTATTCAAGAGATTGAGATCAGCATAAAAACTCTTTTATCTTTAGTGTGAAAAAAAATTCAGGGTTAAAGTATCAGTTATATCAGTAATATGTTTCTTACCCTCCTCTGCTCCTTTTGATCCCTCCTCTTCTTAATTGCTTGTCTTTCAATGAAATTATGTAAATAGTTCACTTCTGCTGTTGTAAGTATACATTCTGTAGGTTTCAAGTCCAGTAGAGAGATCTCATTGAACACTTGCCTCATGTTTCTCACTCTTTTTGCTGCCTTCAATTTTGGTTTCGTAGAATGATCCAACTGCATCATGAATCCAAGTTTCAACTGAAACAAGAGAAGGTTTTACAAATTAATTGTACCTCATATAAAATTCCTTGATTCTGATTGGTGGTGGAGGTGATCAATACAATGATCAGTTGACAATGCAAAACACTGCTGGTAACAGGATAATCCAGTGAAAATTTCACTAGAAAAGTATGAAGGCCATTTCATATGGAGACAAGGCATTACATGACAAAATGTCACCACCTAGTGGCTCACAATATTATAAATCCCTTTTGACCTTGAGAAGGTCATTAAAGGTCAACTCTCAAATCTATCGTCAGATTTGAACTTTTAAGAACTTGTAAGAATTTGGTCAACTTGAAGCAAGTTGATAAAAAACCCCTTTGACTTTTTTGACCTTAAGGCCATTGAAAGTGAAATCAAAATCACCAAAATCTTTTTTGACATCGACAAGGTCATTGAAGGTCAAATCTAAACAGTATTTGTTAAGTTATGGAAGTTGTAAGAATTTGTTACAGACACCGATCACTAACCGCGATCCACCAACCGCCATCCAATATCCGCTGTCACAAAAAATGGAGACCATAACAATATGTCGCCACTTTTTATTCAGTTTTTATGAAAAGACCACAGAGAAAGACAATGAACAAAACTTAAGGGTTCCACCCACTTGGGGTAGGCTTTGTAAAAAACGTTTTTGGATGATGTCAGATTGATGCCACATTAGATAATAAACTTTACATTGATTTGGCCTAGCTTCTTAGATAGCTTATTGTCTTCAATCTTTCAGTTTAAGAGAAACCTTTGAACTCAACCGAGCCAATCAGTGGCTCCCATAGAAAAATAACTGTTCAGAGATTACTTTATAACTGGTCTCTATGGTAAGAGTACTTTGATTAGAATGTATTGCTACAATAGTAGGCAATTAATTATATTTGGAATACAGATCTTTTATACATAACATACTATCAAACCCATCTTTTGACTTTGTCCCTACAAGAATGAGAAATAGATAATTGGGGAAAAAAACTGGTTAAAAATCTAGCAGAAAACATAACTTACAGATTCTAAGAATTCCTTTCTCTGTTTGTCATCTAGTTTCTCAAGCAATGCCTTATTGCGGTGAAAACGTTTCTGTTTAGTTGGGCGTGCCACATCATCTAGCAATGTTTTTTCTTTTTCTTTGATTATTTCATTTGACAGAGGCACCTTTACAGCTACAAAACAAATACAGTAAACATATTGTAAACAAAGCACATTGTGAGTGAAGTATATAAGGTGTCCAAGAAAGGTGAACCACTTTTCATCAAGTATTTTCTCAGGAATGGATGAACTGAATTAATTGAAAATTCTTACTGAGTAGCAGAAGGTTATCATAAACACATCTGAGAAATATACTAGAGATCAGTTGAAATTATGCAAGTATTGTCAAACTCAAAAAAACATGTAAAAAAATATATGAAACATCTTTCCTGAGCAGTAATGTTTCGAATTTCTCTTCAATGATATCGCCAGGCTCATATAAAATAATAATTATCCTGTCCTTCAACACCTTATTTGTCAAGTTGTACCTCACTCCTTCATAAACTTTCTCTTTCAGAAAGTCACATTTGGTTACGATAAGAGTAAATATGGAGATCATTCATCTTACCAGATGAATTCTGGGATAGCCTCCAAATAGCCCTGGGTCACCTGACTTGTAACTTATAACTTTTTTACCAACCTATTTTATAATTTAAAGACGTGTTGATTTAACTTAACATTAACTTAAATCTTTGTATTTGCATTTAGCCCACCACCATAAAGGTTAGTAATATGAACTCACCTCTGGGATATTCTGTTCCAAGCTGAAAATCAGAAATGAAATCATGAAATATTAAACTACTAACTCAATATTAAACAAATACTGGATGATCAGGAGCTGGATATGGCAGAATACCTATTCGAGAAAAAATATTGGGCGAGGCGGCAGCCAAGCCCAATATTTTTTCTCGAATAGGTATTCTGGCCATATCCAGCTTCTGATCATCCATTATTTGTTTTATTATGCACCTCCCAATCAAAGTTAAGTGGAGTACTTACAGTTTAGTTGACATTATTTTGACATTTATTTATTTTTTCTTTCAAAACTCAGACGACTTCCGGCCAGTTTATTCGCTACGACTGGACGAAAATATTTGCCCCGGGAATTTAATCTTTATTAATTCGAGATGTTCTTGCAGAATTACATGTAACTTTTGAATGATAAGGGTAATTGTGATTGATTAAGTGCATTTTCTTCTTCTAATTTCCGCCAGTTTCAGATGTCAGCTTTAAGTAGTACTCCAGTTATTAAGAAATAAAACTCTGAAGTGGGAATGTTGCAAAAACATTGAAAAAATATCCAACCCTTTTTCTCGAAAGGGTCAGATATTAAAAAAATATCCGGCAGTTTTCAGAAAAGAGCAGAGTATTGCCAAATTACAAGCATCTAAGAACCAATCAGATTTGAGTATTTTAATGAGGTGCATAATAAAAAAAATTATGACACTGTAATTGAATATCATCTTTAGTAGTCTAGAGGACAAGTCAGCAATTCAAAGATTTAGAATCGGCATAACTATTTTACAAGATTTAGAATAAGTGTAACTGTTGAAATAGTCTTAGATTCATGGTTTAATATTCATTTTAACGGTTCTTAGAAAAATGTAGAATGTAGCACAAACATGAGATGGAGCATATGTCTTACCAAATTAGGGAATGTCAGAAAATGATTGCCTTTGGCCACCATAGCCTTATGTATAGCCCTGTTGCATTCCTCTAGTGTGACGATGTCCTCCTCAAGGCCAAGCTTGTGTTGAATCAACAAGCATGTCTTAAAATGGTGTATTAGATTGTTCACATCTTGGAATTGAGTCCCCAGCCATCTACTTTTCAACTGAAAGCATATGAATTCTGTACAATACACAGAAGGGGTCTGCATCACATGCTTCCATATAGGATGCATTAATGATATGCAGAGTGACTTTGAGGCTGATATGACATGATTTCTGCCATGATCTTTCAAGAGAAGGGTACAGTATGGAACTATGTGTTGCAAACATGAAAACTTCAAAATGAGTATTGTCACACTTTCCTTTTTGATCATATTTTCATGGAGTACTGAATAAATCTATGAATATGTTTTATCTTGAAGAAATTAAAATTAATTTAAAATATAATTAAAGTATAAAATATATTAAACTCAGTTAAAAGTAAGCAAAAACAACCAATAAGAAGAAGATGTATAAAAATTTCCTCCTGGAGTATTGCATTGCGGGTAATTATTCAGGAACACATTCAAATTAAAACATAATCTGTGTGCGAATACAAACTTTCATTATTGCCAAAATCATAATGAATTCAATTTTGTTTTGTGGGGGGGGGGTACTTGTCAAATTTTTGTACAGGGGAGTGCCGCTGAGACTCAAAATATCTACCCACATCTAGGGATCTTTTTCTCTAAAAATAACCCACATCAAAAATAGACCAACTTCATGGTATTATTATTTTTTTTAAAAACAAGACCCACTTCCGGCGATCTTTTTCAAAAACAGTACCCAGTTTGGGGATTTTTCAAAAAGTAGACCCAGTTCTAGGGATTTTTTCATCAAAATGGGACCCATATCTAGGTTTTTTTTCAAAATGGGACCCACATCTAGGGATTTTTTGGCGACCCACTTTAGCGGCACGTCCCCTTATAGCCAATATATGGGAGTACTCCCCTGGGATTAAAATACATGCATATGATTGATCTCAAATTGGCCCCAAGTAATTTACCCAGCATGCCTGAAAACCTAATCAAATCTTAGCAGTAGTCTGCTCTTGCATCTGAAATTCTGATGACAAGATTAGTCCAACCGCACAGACACACACTCATTAGCATATTAGACAATGAAAATATAGACTTTGAATACATGTGATCATAACATTTATCTAATTTACAATATTTTTGAAAATTATCAGTAAGAAAAGATATAATTTAAACGCCAAGTCATCAAGTCAATGTGCTTTCCTTTTCCATTGTCATCTGTGTGAAACCCTGTAAAAATAAGAAGATGATTAATAGTTTTATCTGGCATTTATAGTTCTAGTTCCTTTATACATACCTGTTCAAAAAGACCTGGAGTGACCCACCTTTATTTTTTCTGATCAGTAAAGGAATTAACAAGTTGCCATTCATGAATTCCAGAATTCTTACCTGATTAAATACTGACAGACATGTAGCTGGCATAGTCTTTATGCGGTATTCTTGTATCATACAAACCAAATAAAATATGACATTGAAATTGAAAAGGCCAGAATAGTTACTCTGGTGTATAAAGTTGCACTATAATATGGATGACCAGATCAATCTTGATTCTCTACATATACACTCTTTACTCAACCGGGATTGAGAGAGCTGCAGATAGCAATAAAAAATCAGATTAAGCCTGATCAATAGTGTCATACAAACCAGAGTATATTGCTAGCTTGGCCTAGGGAATAATCCCACCAAACAGATAGAGCACTTGGTTTGGCCTAAAAATGAGATCCACCTGACAAACATGTTGGTATGGCCTGCCATGTCATATATGCACACATGAGGACCACCCCAGACCAGTAACATACCATTGTAGTATGCATGCAATATTAGGATCTGGTCTGAGATTCACCAGTGGTTTCAGTGACCATATCCTGGGCATCCACTTAATTAACAAACAGGGTCCTGAAAATTCAGTTATAACACAAGTCCTTTTGCCATTTTCATCCAGAGCTTAAAGGGCCAGTAATGCCCCAGTCAAAATACCACAGATCCATGATGCATCAGACAGTACCCCATAATGCATTGAATAACATTAATTAGGTCAATGTATGCATACCGCCGGACCCCTCTGTACGTCTACATAGACACATGGAGATTTATATCAGCTATAAACACTTGTAATGTCATATCCAACTTGAACTCATGCTATAACACATGAGACAAGACAGTCTTGCCTGCATCAATGGATAAAACAGATCACAAGTGTCAACATTTAGACCAATCAAATGACAACTTCTCACAGTTGAATCATGGGATGCCTTACCTGCTTCACACTAACTGAACAATGTGTAACACAATGTAGTTTGTGTGGCTTTCAGTACATAGCTTACCTGTTTCAAGTATCTGATCTTGGCATCTGGCTTGTAAAGGAGACCCTCGCTGTTTAAAGCACTTTGGATGTGATTAAAATTAGCTGCCCACCACTGGGAAGTCTCACTTTCATCCAAGTAGAACTGGATCAGAGCATGGCAGATATACTTAGGAACACGTTCTACATCCACCTTGGAAAAATCTGAAATTTTTTTCAAATCGTCAACATCAGAATCCAAGCTGTCTGTTGGACTAGATACCATTCAAGTATCTCTTAGTTTTGCACACTTTTTATTGTGCACATTAAAGTGGTTGTTTGGTTTTGTTTTCAATTCCACAATTTTGACAGTATGATTAGTATTAAGTAGATCAACAATACCATGGTGCAGCAAATCCCATTGAATGATCTAATAAGTGTCAGACAAAACTGCTAGAAATCATTTCTCAAAATGGCCACGATACAAGATGAATTACCAAACTTGTCATTCTTACATTCACACATAAAATATCAACAAAATCATTGTACTTCTCTTTCAATTTTCACAAAAATGTAATATGATACATGTAATGGGTCTTTTAAAATGACCAACTTAGTGAGTAACTTGAAAGAATGGCCCATGCTAATAAGTACTTTTCTCCATATAAAATAAACAAAATTACTGTTTCTTTTCGAGCAAAAAACACAAAGCCAATTTTCTCTGACGTCGAATTACAGAGCAGCCCATAGATGAAATCATTTAAGGCAATCATGTAGCTTATATTGTAGTCTTACCCAATGTTATCAAAGTGTGATATGTATTTTAAAATTTCAAAAAGTGGTTTTTGATAGACTTTTTGTTCCAAAATTTGTGAATTTATTTAAAACCAACTTTTAGAGGTCACTCATATCTTCTAATCAGCCACAATTCATACCAATGCATAGCATTCATCCTCCCATGTTTTTTGCCGAAAAAATTAAGAACATCGGTTGATAAACAAGCGAGAAATGAACTTATCAGTGCATGAAAATGGTTCTGAGAAAAATGCATTTCAAAATTTTAGTTCTCATAGGAACCAATGGTACAATGATATCTAAAACATAATTTATTCTTCCTTTTAACCTGGTTAGACAATCAACATTGTTTTTTTTTATGAAAGTCTAGCATATTTAGAAAAGATTGACATCGAAAAAAAAAATTCAATTTTTTTCAAAAAGTTTTTGTTACCTTAGTGACATCACTAATGTTTCAAAATATTTTTGATAAGCTAAAACATTTAAGTGGCCCATTAAATATGACATTTTATTATTGAAATAGTGTGTCTTTTGTTCAATCTTTGCATTGGTGTTAAAAAGATAATCTTTTTTGAAATGCATTAAGAAATATTTGATGATTAAGAAATTTCAACTTTTTTTGTAAAGTGCCGGGAAATTTGAATATTTGAGAAATGAAATGCTCACAACTTTTTTTTCAAAAAAAATCTTTTGTTCAAAAATCCCTAAAATCACTTTTTAAGTCCTGACAAATAGTAAATGAATGATAAAAAAATATTTTCAAACTTTAGACGGGGACTTTAAGAGTTGAAAGTGCACAAAAGATCATTTTTTAAATTTATGAATGGTTACACTTCATTTAGAATCTTACCATAGTTTTCCAAAGGCTCACCACTTCCCACACCATCCTCTCCTGGGAGCTCATCAACAACTTCATAAATATCATCTCCCATCTGCATCTGTCTCACAGATCCATCATCAAGGACAGCATTTCCTGCATTGTCCTTTTCATCACATTTAACATCATCTTCCTTTCCAATCCCTTCTTTCTTCTCAGCTTTATCAGCATCTGTGTCGTTTACATCAATCTTTGTATCATCATCAAGTACAATAACAACGTCATCTGGTTTACTAAGTTCATGGATTTCTTCATCCACTTTAGAGTCATCATCTTTCTTCTCATTGGGAGTAATAGCATCATCCCATTCACCCCCAACGCCACCAACTGTTATCACAATGTTATGTTCTTTGTCTTCTATTATTTCATGTTTATAAACATCGTCATCTAGATCAGCAGAATCAATTACATTCCATTCTTCAACATCATCAATAGCTTCATCAGCAGCTTCCTTAGTGTTGTCTTGATTCTCTGGATGCTTTGCTTTAGCAGGGTCATCACACTGAAGGAATTCAATCACTTCTTTGGAAGTTTTTAGCATTGCAGCGCCATCTTTGTTCGTCTTCAGTTCTTCTATGATCCAATCCTGAGAGAAGTCACCGAGAACAATCTCTGCGGTTGTAAATACAGTAAGGTCCCCATCAACATGGCCACTGATCACATGACCTTCTTTGTCACTCAATGAGATGTGTAAATGTGCTTTGTCGCCATACAAGGTTCCTTGCATAGAGACTATTTCAAAATCCTGCTCAAATGTTTTCACCTAAAAGTAAAAGGAAATAATGGTACGAGAACTGTTTAATAGTGTTTGTCCTTTTTCTGCCCATTAACAAACGTATTAACATGATCTGACAAACTAGATCTCAGCTTTTCAGATAATGACCACAGTGTTGTTTTAATAGTTACAGACAACAAAAACAAAGAATAAATGCTCGATTGAAAAAAAGTTTTTTAAAATCATTCTATTTCTTATATTATGATAAGTATGCACCATTTATTCATATTTTTTTGTTTTTACTGGAAATGTAACATCACATTGCAAATTTTTAAACACTGGGCTGAAAGAGTTGGAAATTATTCTGAAGCTTCTTTTCCTTCATCTAGAGGATTTTTAACTTTTAATTTTCAATATTGGTGTTTATATCATGTATATTACCTCATCAGGATGAGAGTCAAGCCTCAATGAAGCCTCAGTGACACTTCCACAACATGTTAATACAACAGCAGCATTCAGCTTGAACTTTTCCTTGAAACCCATCAATGTCTTGGTAATGTCCTGGTCAGGTTTAATACGCAAAGGAAACAGCTTGACGGAGGGGACATTGGCAGGGTTCAAAAGCTTGATGTCACCTATATCCTGACCAGCTGTCTTCTTCTCCTAATAAAAATCATCACATATTTAAGAAGAACAAAATCGCTCCACTGCTTTTGAAGTAATAGCAAAAATTAACAAAATAGCGTCTTACGGCTGCCATTTTCCAAGATGGCTGCCATAAATGTATAATATAAGATCTCAAATCCTAATCTCTGCCAATATACAGAGCAATGGTATCTATAAATATTTCCAAACATCAACCTAATTAAATATTGGCCAAAACTGGAACAAAGACTTACAACAAGCGGCACATAAGGTGGAAAGTCAAAGCTGTAAGGTGTGGTAGTCACTATCATATCTATTGCTCTATTCCAAAATCTAGGCTTCATCTCTGATTTGTTTCTATAGAAAATCCATCGCTTTTTCAACTACAAATACAATCACAATAATTCCTTTAATACTGTACATAGAAATATTTTCATCCATACTTATATATCAGAACAGTTAAAATAAAAGCCCCCAAAACAACAAGGGATTTCGAATATCAGCATCCATTTATTGTCACTCGCGTTTGCTACCATTTGCTCAATTCTGAGATGACAGGCACACGCATAGTAAACTAGTAAAAATCAAAGAATTTTTTTCTGGTAAAAATCACTGTTTTCAAAAAAGCAGATCTTTTTTTGTCTGAACCCAAATTATTCTCACCTCCTCTTGAAATACATCTCGTAGATGACTCTCATTTTCCAACTTTTCCCAAATTCTCTGAATTTTCTGAGCCACATGTTTCCATGGAACACAATGGATGAAAAATGGATTAACAACATCTAGTAGATCAATGGTCCTATTGATGCCAATTTCTTCGAGATCGGAATGAGTTAAAATTGGGTTTGTGCCGTGATTGAGCTTTTCTGTCTGAATGAGGAGTAGTTGCCTGGCTGTCAAGAATTGTTTGTCTGCATCACTTTCATCATTGAGTGCTTTTAGCCACATCTCTTTCAATTCATTACGCTGGAAAAACAAATTAAATATTGTGAGTGAAAATACTAGGCATATGCACATTTTAAGACGTCTTAAGATTGTAATGTAAATCCAGTTTCTTAAGATGTCTTGAATAAGATGTCTCAGTCAAAATGTTTTGGGACCATAAAGTCAAGTGTTAATCCATCTGTTTTAGCTAAGCGCTCTTACCCAGGTTTTAAATGTATGTGTAATTGTGATGATTAAAATACTGCATTCAAAGCAGATCATCAAAGGAAATTATCTTGTTTTGGTAGATCTTTCTTCTATCTATCTTTTATAAGCTGCAAACCATACCACACATTTCTGTTTTTGTTCATGTTTTATGGAGTTATTATATTTCCTTGATACGGACCTCGAAACAGGACCATCAATACTTTAAACTATGGCTTCACAGCCCTTCAGCCAGTACTGAACTGATAACTCTTCCATTTTTCATTGATATCTACCTAGATGTCTTAAAAAAACGAGTGTAAACTCAAACATTATTTGTAAGACATCTTGATACGAGTAATGTAAACCCCCCTAAATTTTTTAAGAGCTCTTACCAAGGCCATCTTTATGCTTTGTGTAGTACTGTAGGGTTATTATAATATATTAAATGTTTTGCATTTTGCAGAGATATGTCAAAAAACATTTAAGCATTACCTATATCTCTATCTATTACAAGCCGCATCTATTGAGTAAAGTTGTACTACCCTTTGCATTCTATTGACTTTTATTCTTCATTAGTTTGTAACATTGAGACTCTAATAGTACATACCTGGTACTCAGAAGCCCTCCTGCCCTGCTTTAATTGGGTGAAGTATTTGCTATAGAGCTGAACATATGCCTCGTCCTCTTCAAGAGTTGGCATTAATTCTTGGATATGTTTATCTAGGCTTTCACCCTCACCCTCAGTGTACTTAAGGTCTGGGTTGAAAATCCTATGGTCTGTGATGAAACTATTGTCTGTCTTTTGTCTGTCAGCCATTTGCTTGTTAGCTTTTTGCTTGTTAGCTTTTTGCTTTCCAGTTTTTTGCTTGTCTGCATTAGAGTCCTAGAAACACAGAGAGACATATATTATATCCTTAGTGTCCTCATGTCCTTATCCTTATTTCAAAACCCCCAAAATTGTTCAGAAAATGGAATTTTGCATGCTCACAGCTGACTGATTTCTCCTGTATTGGTGCATTTAACATTGCACAGAATATAAGTACTGTGGATAACACAAATTATACTGAACATTTCCCAAATAAGTTATGAGAAAATAACCACTTTCAGACTTGAATTAAGTATGACAAAATATGATGACCCCAGGGGTCAGAAGAACCCTATAAAATCTAAAAGGCTAAAGGGATTGGACTGAAAACCCCTAACATTCAAATGTTAAACAGCATGGATATTCAACAAACCGTGACCCTATTACAGTGTACTATCCTTACTCATAGAATTAGAATACTCTAATTTGCAGACATATAAAGCCCAGAATAACTGGGAAACATGTGAACATAACAGTGATCGGTAAAATATTTGGGATAACTTTCTGCGGATGGATGAGCTTGGTAGTGGTGAATTGGTCAATGTAAAGTAAATGTAATGTAACTTAACTTTGTATTTTGTAACTTGATTTTTTTGGCAGTTCTAATTTTTCAAATTTATTCTTTAATATTTGGTCTTTCCTTGATATTTCTTGGACTTTGAGAAGATTTTTTTCTGGGCCCACCCAAGGGGATCCGCCAGTGGGTACCCCCATAAATGTGGGGTAGAATTGGCGTTTTTTCTTATATTTTATCATTCTTGTGCCAATACTCCCCCACACATGAAAACTATTCCTTATCGTGTACCTGGGTACCTTGGTAATTCAAGTAGAAAATTCAAATATAAATAGGCAGTTTCCTTACCTCTTCTCTTGACTTTTTTGACAAAACACTTTCCATGAAGTTATTAACGATTAAGCTGAAGCTGGGTAAATGTAAAACTTTTGATAAAAATGGAAAAATTATCTCGTTATCCATAGTAAATCTTCGATAAAAGACTAAATATAATATACTTAAGGCTTTAAATAGTATCATATTGATGAAGAATCATTTGTGGAAACGAACATCGTAAAAACGTGAGTAATACCTAATTATTTATCAATAACTTCAACTTTCAACTTGCTTTGAAATTCCTCCGAGATACACGATAAGGAATAGATTGCAAGTGTGGGGTAGACTATATCCTCTAGTCTGAAATTTTTTTGAAATTTGGAATGAAAATATTCAGACTATAGCCCACATATGTTAAAATTTGGGATTGAAAAGTATTTGTTTACATAGGAAGTGCCATTCAAAATGGCCAATTGGATAAATTAATTTGGATATTTGTTACTTTTCCTAGCTTTATCTCCATTTGACAATAAGCTACAGTTGGGGACAAAAATAAATGACAGGTCGATTTTCGATCACCATTTCCTAATTATGGTGGTCTGAAAGCCCATAATTTCCAATATTGTCTAGATACATATCCCTTAAAATTTGTATATTTTACATTTTGTATAATCTCATCCACTGATGTATGGCCTCTTGTAAATTCTCTTATTTTTAACATGGGAAATCCTCACTTCAGCAAATCCACCTGTCATTTATTTATGTCCCCAACTGTATGTTACTTTTTGTAGCATTTAATTGTACCTTACTACTTAAGGTCTCATGGAAGTTAACAGGAAATGACAAAACAAAAAATGACAAAGCCATGCTGGATTTTGAAAATTTTTTGAACCAAGATAACAGAGTTCTGTTTGGACCTCCAGTCAGTTTAACTAGTTCCACATATCATTTACATGACTGGGAACACAATTGAAATGGTCAGAATGACCATAAACATGATAAAATAACCTTTTCAGCCCTCTGAAAATGTGACTGAAAAATAGCTAAAAGTAGGTGCTCAGGAAAGGTCAATCAACAGAATCTTTTGATTTTTTCAGAAAATGTGTCCAATATATTGCTCTAAATGACACAATCTTTGAAATTTAAAAAAATTGTCTGAAACAATAATGGCTGTAGTAAAAAGGAAAATAGATCGATTTTCAATTCAGTTTTTTTAAATTTTTTCTTTTTCTAAGAATGATATCAAATTTGTTTAAATTGAATCATTTAGAGCAATATATTGGGCACATTTTCTGAAAAAGTCAAAAGATTCTGTTCAGTGACCTTTCCTGAGCACAGACTCTTAGCTATTTTTTAGTCACATTTTCAGAAGGCTGAAAAGGTTATTCTATCATGTTTATGGTCATTCTGACCATTTCAATTGTGTTCCTGGTCATGTAAATGATACGTGGAACTAGTTAAACTGACTGGAGGTCCAAACAGAACTCATTTATCTTGGTTCAAAAAATTTTCAAAATCCAGCATGGCTTTGTCATTTTTTGTTTTATCATTTCCTGTTTACTTCCATGAGACCTTAATTGAATTGTTATAATGCTTATTTTTGAGAAGTGAAGTTTCCTAAAATTGATAATTGTGTGCAGGAAATTTCCTGTTTTTTCCCACGGGAGGGACATAATGATCAATAGACTGAATTCTCAGGAAATTCAGTCTATTGGATGTAGACTAAATGTGGGGGAGATTTGGCACAAGAATGATAAAATATAAGAATAAGAAAAAACGCCAATTCGACCACTCATTTATGGGGGTACCAGTGAGCTACATGGATGATTTCATATGATTTTCGAAGTGTCTGGAGTACCTTAAAATTTAAGGCTCTTTAGCCAAAATGCTAAAGAGCCTTAAAATTTAAGGCTATTTAGCTGTGAACATAGTGTTTTGGCTAGAGAGCCTTTGTGTTTATAATCCGTGTTCATATTGTTTTTTATTGAAGTTTTCGTCATCTGAACAATAAAACAACACTCTTGAAAGTTTTTCAACCCAGAATGCCACTTAAAAATTTCACACATGTATATTACTAAAGAGTTGCCAAAAGCTTTCCGCAATCATGGAAAAACAGTCTGGTATAGTGGTTAGGGTGCTGGCTTTCCACTTCTGCGGCGTGGGTTCGATTCCCCGATGGAGCACTTTTTTTATTGTGAATAACAAGCCGGAAGTTCGTTCTCTGAGCTCCGGAAAATATGTATACAATTTTTTCGAGAATTCTTGGGCTTGCTCCATCGCTCAATCATCAATGTTTAATGAAATTAATCACTTGTATTGGCTTGGCTATAGTCACAAGCTTATAGAATACAGGGAATCCCATTTTAAGATAGCAAAAAGTATGATGAAGACGGGGATGAAAAAGGATCTTGTTTCTGCTAGATACAGCACATCTTCACGCAGTTTATGGTGAATGCAGGGACATCAGCCCAGGGACATCACAGAATACACTTCCAATTGCCCATTTCAATGTTTTTTAGAATTTTTCTTGGACGAGATATTTTTGCATAATATTTTGCAAAAACGTCTTCCTCACTAGTGAGAATTTAAGCACATGAGAGAGCACAAAGAAAATTTACAGTACAAGAGGTGAACTGCCGAGGAAACAGCGGCTTGTGCAACACAACAACAACATTTTTATCCTAGCCTCCAATCCATCAATTAATGTCTATACATCAAAATCTTTACTAAACGGATGTTGCGATTTATAGTGGATAAAATGGTAAAAATAACATTTTTCTGGCTATATACGTGATTGCCTGGTCTTACACCTTCTCTGGTGAACCAGAGACATATATTTTCGATATATGCATGAACATCAAACAAACAAACATTTACTTTTCAAAATCGATGTTTGAACCTTTAAAAAGCCAAATTTAGACTGGGGATTGAAAAGGTTCTTTTATTTCTCTCGGTAGACCGGAAGTACATATGTAAATTTATGAGTTGAGCAAAAAGTGATAATGTTTTTTTATGAAGTGGGGAAGTCAAAACAGTACTAATAGAAGTCATAGTGAGCATTAGAAGATCATTTAAAACCATTCAAATCGACGGCAAAGTTAGTTGAAATGACTGAAATCTTTATATGTTATCTTCTTCATCTTCGCGGACCTCAGAGAAGTCACTTCCGGTTTAATAATCAGTGATTTTATCGATCAAAAAAATTTTCTTTTTGAATTTGTCCGATATCTGCTAATATGGTATGTATATTTGTGCTGATTGTTAAATTACAAAATAGGTTGGGTATAGAATATGTCAAAGTCGTTTGATCTTGTCCCAGAAGCAATATTTCGTCATTTCTGTCGCCTGGAATTCCTTAAGGCTCTCTAGCAGAATTGGCTATCAAAATGCTAAAGAGCCTTAAATTTTAAGGCTCTTTAGCCCAAAATGCTAAAGAACCTTAAAATTTAAGGCTCTTTAGCATTTTGGCTAGAGAGCCTTAAATTTTAAGGCTCTCCAGGCGCGGCCTATGATTTTAGCAGTATTTTAGATCTACAATATTTCATATCATTATTTGCAAAAATTGAAATTGGTCTTGGCGATTCACATTTTAGCTTGAAACTCATTAACGAATATCTTCCAAAATCACTTCATACATTCAAACGAGGTTATTTTCGGTACTTACATTATTTTGGTTGGATTTTGGGCGCTTACGTGGCCTATTACGCCTATTACCACCCCATCTTCTCGCTGTCTGTTTTGTTCTCGCCATGTTTTATACCAAGCTGAACTTCGAGTAGTACAAGATAGTAATGTAGGTCAAACAAAAATACTTCAACATATGAATATCATACATACTTCAGAGTTATTTATCTTAATATCAATGTATATTTAATAGAATATTTGATTCATGAATTGTCATTATGAATTTTTCATCAAATAAAGATAAAAAAAACTGTAAAATATATAATTACCAGAATGTTTGACTCCAGGAAATAAACAAAACTGAAAAGAAAATGGAAAGCGCCAAAAATATTGCTGAAAAAGTCGAACCTGATGACCATATATCCATGGTAGACGTCTTAGAAGAAGAGAATAAGCTAGAAGAAGATGCAACTGCAGTGTTAGGAGATAGTGATGACAAAAACTGCACATATCTGATGGTGATTTAGCTAAAACTTCTTTGCCATTTTATCAGTTCAAAATAAGGTTGTTCGACCCTATCTGTTGCAAGACTAACGCCTTGCGTAACCGTTACCATGTTATTCAATGTTTTTAAGTAGCGCAAGGATCCTGCCATGACAGTGGTAATGTTATCGTGAAAGCCTGGTATAACTGTGACAATGCTGTATTATATTGCAATGCCTGCCATGACCGTGACAATGTAATATAGTTCTGCAAGGCTTGGCATGACCGTGACAATGTAATATAGTACTGCAAGGCCTGGCATGACCGTGACAATGTAATATACTGTAGTACTGCAAGGCCTGGCATTACCGTGACAATGTTATATAGTTCTGCAAGGCCTGGCATGACCGTGACAATGTAGTATAGTATTGCAAGTTCAGGTATGAGAGCGTAATGTAGAAATTTACGATTAGGACTGCTTTAACCGTGACAATGTGTATTGCAAAGCCTGGCATGACCGTGGCAATGTAATATAGTATTGCAAGGCTTGGTATGACCGCCGTGGCAATGTGATATAGTATTCCAAGTTCGGGTATGAGAGTGGTAATGTAGAAATTTATGATTGCTATACTGTAAGTGACCGTGACAATGTGTATTTGAAAACCTGGCATGACCGTGACAATGTATTATGGGATCGCAAAGCCTGGTATGACCGTGACATTGTAATATAGTATTGCAAGGCCAGGTATAAGGGTGGTAATGTAGAAATTTAGGCTTAGTCCTACTATGACCATTACATGTATAATGTATTGCAATGACTAGTAAATATGTATGACATTAAAGGTGCTACAAATAGTGCAGGGGGGCCATTCAACGATCATCGAAAAGTGTCAAAATATATTTAGGTTTGGATATTTCATCAAGACTAACATATATTTTCATTATCTACAAAGAAACCCTCTGGATGAACATTATTTCAGCTGATATTCCTCTTGAAACATGGTGGATCTTAAAAATCTATAAGTGGGACTCCCTTTATAGAAGCTTTGAATTGAATTTACACTTCTTAATGCTGAAATTGATAGTTTATACATACATTTTATGAAAATAGGTATATCAAAGAAGGTATTAAGCCAAATATTGACCTGATAGCTCAGAAAAAATAAAAATTTTCGAATTTTCTCTCTACAGTCCTTATTGCCCCTTTAATGCCAGGAATATCCTTAACAATTTTAAGTGATCGTCATTACAATTAAACAGTTTAATACTATGATCATGGTGTTTAACTACCTTAATCATGTCAAAATCAAAATTACTACTATACATTAATATTCACATTCGCTTATAAACCACAATAAAGGCTACTGTCGCGCCAGGCTTCCACGATAACACTTCCAGGGTCATGACATGCCTTGCAATATAATACAGCATTGTCACGGTTATGCCAGCCTGTCAAGGTTATACCAGGCTTACACGTTAACACTACCACGGTCATTGCAGGATCCTTGCGCTACTTAAAAACACTGATTAACATGGCGACGGTTGTGGCAGGCGTAAGTCTTGCAATAGATAGCATGTGGGTTGTTCTTGTTGAATTGACTTTTTTTTCCATATTAATGGAAAATAGATGGCATCTTACTCTACCGAGCTGACAGAAGTCAGCTCTGGGAAGTTAGATGTTTGTGTACTTGAAGAGAATAAATCGAGCCCATTTTGACTAAACGCTGTGCTGAGTAGCGTTTATAATACGCTATATATTTGAATCAATACATAATTTATTTGTTGTTACCTTATTTTGTTCCTTCAACAGTCTGTTGTTGTAGTAAATCAATGTTCTATTAGACAACAAAACTTTTGAATTTAGATTCCAGCCATTTTAGGTCTCGCAAGATCTCATGACTTTCGAAAGTAAAAATTTGCTACAAAATAACTCGCGTTAGCTAAATATGAATAGTCACGTGATCTTTGAACGGTAATACCCATGGGGATAAAAAGTACAATGCGCATGAGCATGCATGTGCAAAAAGTTAAAAAATGGTGCGCGCCAGATCTGGAATTTCTCCACTTTAACTGCAATTACACACAAAGTGGGACTTTTTGTCACCACTCGTCATGAAAAGGGCAAGTTACATTCAATTATCTTCTTAAATACCGTTTCTTATTCCAGCGCCCTTGCTGGAAGTTGGAGAAAACCACTTCACAAGACGGTATATTTTAACGGTTTGTCAGCTGGCTTTTGAGCCAGCTGTGTTCAGTAAATGGCAATCATGCAATGGTGGCCCGCCCCCCCCCCCCCCTCCTTGGTTGGGCCCAAAAGGTGGGCCTTTTTGGTCATTACTGGGCCTTATTTTCAATTTCAGTCCTACTTTTGAAGAAAATGGGCCTCAAAATTTGAAAAAAAATTCTGCGCGAGCGCAGAAGTGTTTTTATCTGACCTGAAATTTGAGCCCCCCCCCCCTTGTTGGTTCCTAGAACCCCCCCCTGCCATTGGTATGGTAGGGCTAGGGCAGGTAGGGGCAGATCTGGGATCCAACAAGAGGTGGGCTCAAATTTCGGGTCAGAGAAAAAAAATTCCATATAAAAAAATTTTTGGGCCCCTAAAACGCAAAAGTGGAAAATTTGAGGCTCATTTTCCTTAAAATTTGGCCTGAAATTAAAAAGTAAGGCTTTAAAAGCACCATTAATGACCAAAAAGGCCCACTTTTGGGGGCCAAAAGGCCTTTTTTGCCCAAATTACCCACCCAAGGGGGGGCCCGGGCCCACTGGAGATTTACGTAAATTTCCAAGCAAAAACTGTCTTGACGATCAATTACTAGTCTTCCAGCGTATTATATTTAAATTTTTATTAGACAAGTCTTTTGCAGATTATTAATATGGACATTACTCTTAATTTCCAGAGGGAGCCATTTACACTGTTACATCATCATGATGATAGTGTGCTACAAAAGGGTTTCGTTGTGGGGCTACTTTGACCATGTGCATAAGATGTATAAAAAATGAGAAAATAAAGTGACTTATTTTGCACTTTTAAAAAGTAGGTCACTGAATTTTCTAATTTTTCATACATTTTACAAAATATTCTCCACACTCTTTTCTAAGTACATTAGTGCACTCTTTGAGCAAATGTGAAAGATGAAGACTGTATATGAAACGAGATATTTATTCCTGAAAATAACATGTGACTCTGATGAGAACTGATTAAAAATTCCAAACTCAAACATTGACCTTCAGCCATCTTGGATTAAGATCTCAGCCATGGGAGATTTCAATATATTGCGAAGATTGAGATTATAAGCATGTCGGAATTACCCCATGGTCAAACAGCCCCATGACGAAGTAACTCCATGCGTCGCTGTTTGACTTTCATAACCAAGTGTATATAATTAGCTTATTATGTCATCACCCCAAGTGGTGACATATTGTTATAATCTCCAACTGTTTTGTGGATGGTGTTTGGTGGTCAGCATTTGGCATGCAGTGGTCAGCGTTTGGAACAAATGACAGTACTGTACTTGCTTGTGACATTTTGTATGCTAATGCCTCGTAGTTGAAAGAGTCCCACTATCTGTGTATCTTTACATCTTGCCGTTCTTGGGATTTCTCTTGAGTTCATGCCTTCATAAAATTATTGCCTGTCAATATCAAGCCACTTCACACATGGTGAGCCTATGTAATCATCATTTACACCATTGGCCATGGCTTTTACTTCTGCTTTGTTCGAAGAAGTCAGCTTTTCTCACCACATGAGGCCACTGTATTGTGCCATTTTTACCTCAGTAATGGTCATTTGTTGCTTGTTATCTTACCATCTATGATAGCATTATCTTTATTTTTCAATGTCTTCCTACAGGGCTACATACCACGGCAAGCTGTTTACTCATGCGTAACATGTAAAAGTGATGCTAATGGTCCTGCTGGAATGTGCCTTGCCTGCTGTCTAGTATGCCATGAGGGACATGATCTCTTGGAGTTATACACAAAAAGGTACTTTTTTGTTTAGTTGTACATTTCCTGGAAAATCTGTCTGCTTTCAGCTGAAAAATGATAGATCAATCATGTTGGAAGAAATTTCTTGTAAGTCTATAACAGTATGCATTTGCAACAGAGGCTGATAAAAGTAAAATATCAAAATAAATATTGGAAAAATAAAATATGTAGTCTGCTATTCTTAACCATTTTTATTTTTTGTATTTTTACAGAGAATTCAGATGTGACTGTGGAAATAGCAAGTTCCCAAACTTTGAATGCAAACTTACTCCAGTAAGTATCATTATTAAATATAGATGTTTCAAAGGATATTGATCAGAATTCACATGCATTTTCATGGTACTATCAATGTAATCTCTAATGATTTCATTTATTTACCACTATATGATGTACAATTTAATTACCCATTTGACTATCCAAACAACTATCCATTTAGAATGTCTTATCTGTAACACAAATAATAAATAATTTTGAATATCCCAATTTGAGAGTAATACCCCAAATAATATAGTTTTCTTTCGCATCTTACCCTTTGTAACTATTGCAGAAAAAATGGGATATCGTAATAGCGATTATCGCTTTGCTCTCTCGTGCAGATATCAATATCACCTCGTAGATAAAAATGATATTCCTCAAAATCATAGGATATCCTATAATTTCTTTCGCATCTTACCCTTTGTAACTATTGCAGAAAAAATGTGCAATCAATGAGGATAACAGCTATAATCAGAACTATAGAGGTCTCTACTGTACATGTCACAGGCCATACCCAGATCATGATGATAGTGTAAGTACAATAATATAATGTTTTGCACTCTCTTCAGTCTTCACCAAATACAGGGTATTTATTTACAATAAATGTCACAGCCACAAATATGTACAAATGTTTTTATGTTTTAATGAAATAAAAAAATAAGATAAAAATAAGAAATGTGAATATTCTATACAGTTGCATGAATTAGGGAAATAATACTATATTTTGGGGATCTATAATTTTATTTCTATGTGGTTTTAACTGTTTTTCTTTGTTCTAGATAGAAGATGAGATGATTCAGTGTGTGATATGTGAGGACTGGTACCATGGTAGGGTAAGATACAATCCTATCTATCGAACATGTATAACTCTAGAACTATATATTATGTATATGTTCTCCCAAATATCCCTCATCTCCCTTGTCAAAACAGCAATCTTATTCTAGACTTGCTTGGGGTCCTTGTTTTGAGTGATGGTGTATCTGATGGATCCAGTGGATGGGATGGAAACTTCAGCTTCAGTTAGAAAAAATAGGCCTTGTTTTTTCGAAAATAACCTAATCTTTCTCAAAAATGGGCTGAGGAATTTTCAGTAACACCCTTCATATCTCATAATACCTCACAACTCTATACTGATAACATAGAAGTAATTACCCCTCCTATATTTTGGAAAAACACCAATTAAGTCTTGAATTACATCATTTAGACATTTAGTACTCAAACTGTTGTCCATTCTCCCAGTGTACGTAAAATTTTATTCATGATTTAATTGGAGCATGTATTTCAGGTTTGTGTAATCTTTAATTCTGATATAAACTAACTATATATGTGTTTTGTTTTTATGTCACCACTTTTCGTGATGACATATTGTTATGGTCTCCAACCTTTTGTGAAGGCATTGGGCGGTTGCTGTTCAATGGTTGGTGGATCGCATTCTGCATCTGTAACAAATGGCAGGTAGTGACATTTTGCATGTTAATGCCTTGTTATCCTCATTTTGACATTTGCCTCTGCTGATTTATACTGTAATTCTTTGCAGCATCTGGGTAGGGATCCACCTGACACTGATATCTTCCAGGAGATGATCTGTAAAGACTGCATGGCTAAACATGAGTTCCTTTGGGCATACACAGTGCAATCCACAGGTACAAAAGCATTAAAAACTTACTACTGTACTCTACGTTTTGAATTATGTTTATGGCACTACCAAGGAATGAGAACATATTCATGTTTTCTGTCCAGGTATGCTCTCAGTGGAATCATCAAAAAATGTTAAAAAATACAATTTTCTGAAATTGGGATGTCTGTGTTAGCATTATTTGAGTCATTTCTGGATTGGTTTTACATATATTATCAGTAATATATCATATCTACCCATTTTTCTCAAATGATTTGGATTAACTGACTCGCTTATTGTGTAAATTTAAAAATCACAGATTTTCTATTTTACATTTTTGAGTGATTTTTATGTCACAATCAAAAAGGGTGACAAATTGTAATAGTCTCCATTTTTTGTGGTGATGGTTGGCGATCGGCGGGTTTTCAGAAGTTCAAATCTGACTTTATATTTAAGATTTGACCTTCAATGACATTTTCAAGGTAAAAAAGCGTTAAGAGAGGTCAAAAAGGTCTTTTTCAACTTGGTTCAAATTGACCAATTTGTTTTTTCAAAATCATCTACAAGTTCTCAGAAATTCAAAACTGACTTAAGATTGAACTAATAATATCATGAGCAACTAGGTGGTGACATTTTGTCACATTAATGCCTTGTGTGACAGAGCATGCCTCTGCAGAAAATAAGATATCTCTTATTTCCAAATTGTTGATGCTGTGCAAGCATACCAACCTTCCACTGAACACTGTCTACATAACAAATCATGAGAAAGTTATTACAAAAATAGTGGGTGGCATTTTTGTGTCACACTGTATTATATCAAGAAATATTTTATGAAACTTAAGTCGGATATTATAACATGAAATATTTATATCTACAGTTACAAGCAAGATGTGCCAGCAGACCCAGGATGTAAGTGTCAATGTGGACACAGTATCTCCAGTGAAGGAGGCAACAAATACAGCTGATATCCCCGAATCAAGTGTTCCTAAGACAGAGGAGGTAAGTTCATCCCATGAAGAAATTGTCAAGTATTTTTAAGTGTCTGTTAAGAGTCTACCCAGTTCATCTGAATTTCTTCTAAGAAATTCTTCAGTGCATATTATATTTAATGTATTGATGCATGTGCTTCAATCCATTATTATGTTCTGCACTTCCAGGTGACAAAATGCAGTACTAGTAGTGATGGAGTACAGCCTGCACCAACAGTAGAACCATTACTCAATGTGACGAGTGAAGATGACACTCCACTAAAAGAGGAAAAGATAAATGGTGCTTCTAATGACATTCCAGTAAATAAAAATGACAGTACTGTTGCTGAGGATACCTCAGTTGGAAGTATATGTAAATATGGGGAACTTTCCACCAGAAAATTTGAAGTGAAAAACTGTGCAACATTCTGGAAGGATGGATGGAGATCAAAGCTTTGTACATGTGCATCATGCAAGGTTTGTTGATTGAATAATTTTAGAAAAAAAGCATTGAGCAATAGCAATGCTTTGAAGGTTCAAAAGAAGTTCTTTTTCACCACCAAGAAATGGTGATACATTGTTATAGCTACTGTTTGTTCCACTTTGCTTAAATTGTTTAACTTTTATAACCAATCCCAATATCTTATAAGGTGGTTACATTTTATGCCTTGTTTGCGACATAGAGTAGGGTCAATTTTTGTTTAACAGTTCATGAGAGAGTAATGGTCATTGTAACCTTTGCCAACATTGTATTGTGCGAACAAATGTTGAAATATAATTTCAAAATAATTGTTTTCAGGAAATGTACACCATGGCAAAAGTGCAGTTTCTGACAGATCAGTCAGACACAGTTCTAGCATATGAAGAAAGAGGGCGCACTAAGCATGGTGGTTCACAATACGAGCGTGGAATGAATGTTCTCTCAAGTATGGATAGAAGTAAACAAGTGGAAATGCTTCATGGTAAGTCAATATGAAGTAGAACTATTTTGATTGATCATAGCTCAGTGAATACTACATTGTGCATTGGAATCTTTATACCAATTTACAATTACCATTTTGTGTTCCCATTTTGCCCTCACTAAAATCTTGAGTTCAGTTCTGAATTTAAATGGGGGATATTTTTCATTGTGTGTCTTGGTACATCAAGCTGTTTTCACAGTGTGTTGATTTTGGCTGAAAATTAAACTGAAATCTTTTTCGAGTTTCTTTTAAAAAATTACATTTATGTAAGTACAACCAAAATTTAAGTAGCAAACAATAACTGAATAAAGGTTGCCTGACTGACAGGAAGATGAAAATGTTTCATTTATTTTAGGTTACAATGATCTGAAGACTGAACTGAGTGATTATCTGAAAAAGTTTGCAGAAAATGGCAAGGTAAATAAAGAATATGCATTTCTTAGAGTCCTGGTTGGAATATCTCATTAGTCCTTTGTTTCTTTGACTTGTACATTACTCCACATTACAAAAAATCATCCATTGAAAACTAGGTTTGCATCTTTCCAATATTCTTATATGGACACTCTACATGTCAAGCCATTCAATTCATTGTTTCAGGTTGTCCGGCAAGAAGACATCAAAGAATTCTTTGAAGGCATGTCATCCCGCAAGCGTCAGAAAGTGGAGACATCTATACCACACTTCTGTAGGTAGAGACACTATAAACTACTTTACCGTGTTCAAAAACTGCCATTACAAGGATTGTGTGAACAACAATTTTCCGTAGGCAGACAAACTGGAAATGCTTAACTGTGTACAAAACACAGTCATTACATAATAGAACAGAAGTAAAAACACCTGAATACGAGGGGTGATCAATAAGTAATGGACGCTTTTTTACACAGATACTTTTTATAGACCAATCCCTTTGATTTTCTTACCAGTGATACATCATTCAATTATCTATCAATTCTAAAGATTTGAAGACAAAATATGTAATACATATTGGTATAGCCTTATTTCCGTGAAGGAGGTACAGGTACCCCGGGACCGACATTTACGTCACATATTAAGTTTTTAGCCAGTTTGGTAAATTTCAGTTAGATTTGAACTTTTTATATGCAACAAGTGTTGTGTTGTTTGAAATTTTTTGCTGACTTGTAACACATAAACAGAAAGTATTGTTGTGTCAGAGTGTTGTATGGAAGGGGTTTGCAGGTCAATTTGAGAAAGCAATGTGGAAGAAAGGGGTGGTGAGAGAAGGGAACACCCTACTCCATATGGAGAATGCGCCTGCCCACAGATCTCAAAATGTTCAGAAAACAATATCCCTGGACCTCAAAATTGAGCCCTTGGCCAATGCACCATATTGTCTAGATCTGCTCAAGTGTGACTTGTTAATTTCTATACTACTTATTTCAATAAAGAAAGGACGCAGGTTTATTGACATTGATAAAATAAAACAACCCGTGCAACTGCATCTTGCTACCATGTCAGAGAATGGATTCAGCCTTGCCTCACAATCTTAAGAGGATGAGAAATTGTGTACATGTAGCACTTGATGGAACCTATTTAGAGGGTCCTGTGGAATGAATGTTGTATGAAACCACATAGTGATGATAAAATATTCAAAATCAACTATGGCATAACAAAATGGGGTAATTCATGACCATAATGGTTTGTTTTGTTCAGCCTGCATTCAACTGCATTGCATGTTAAACAAGCTAAAATAGCTTCAGAATATGTGACGTAAATGTCTGTCCCGGGGTACCTGTACCTCCTTCATGGAAATAAGGATATATCAACACGTATTATATATTTTGTCTTCAAATCTTCAGAGTTGATAAATAATAGAATGATGTATCACTGGTAAGAAAATCGAAGGGATTGGTCTATAAAAAGCATCTGTGTAAAAAAGTGTCCATTACTTATTGATCACCCCTCGTATACCACACTTTAATATGTACACAAACCAAGAAATGCTTTACTGTGTTTAAAACACTCACATATACAAAAGAACATTATATACTTGGAAACATGCATACAGTATGTTCATTTTCTTCGAAAGAATTTATTTTTTACCACATGTTTAGACTTAGATTCACAAAATAGATACTAAGCTGACATCTGATACAAGGTGAGACAAAAAAGGTAACCCAAACAAATGGTGATAACTCAGTCAATTAACCCTTTCTCGACTTGAATATAAGAGGAAAATGTTGGCCTGGTGACGGATAAGTAAGAGCGTTTTTTAGGTAAAAACTAGAAATGACGTATACCTTGGACCTATACTTAACTATACTATAATTTTATCACTAAAATACAATTTTTAATAAGCAATATCACATGTCAACAACTTGTCAAAATTTGGTCTAAAAATACTGAATAGAACTGGAGATATTGTCATTTCATTGATGTATGTAAATAAAAATAGTGGTGCCAAAAGGAGCCTATCGTCCTAAAAGCGATTATGTAATAGGGCTCAATATGGAGCCTATCGTCATGAAAGGGTTAAAGTAAACAATTAAACCTTGTTCAATGGTCTTACCTTTTTTAGCTCACCCTGTATATAATATTATGTAATCAAGGGTATCTATCCCATTGAATGAAGTTTGAGTAGGGATATAGAAAAGCCATCCATCTTTCCGATTGTTGGTCTGTATGTCTGTTCATCCTTCCTTCCATCAGGATGTCTGTCTTGGTGATCACCAAAATACCAGTTAACTAATTTGTTTCAAAATGGCTGCAATTTTTGTGAAAAAATGTAATTCTGACACAACCAGAAGTGGTGACATATTATCGTCTTTAACATTTTATAGACAGCAGCTGGTGTTCAGCATTTGTAATGACTGTTGGTGTTCTGCGTCTGTGACAAATGGCAGGTGATGACATTTTGCATGTTAATTTCTGCTTTTGATAATTGTAAAATTATTACCAGTTATCGGATTTGGTTCGAGATGTTCACTCAACTCAAAATGGCCACCATTTTTTGTGAGAATGTGATGAATGAAATGCCAAGTGATGGATTTGGTTCAAATTTTGTTCACTGAGGCCTTAGGGACAGCACCTCCTCTCAAGTAGAAAGTTTTAACATTAAATTCAAAATAGCCACTATTTTTTAAAAGACATATAATTTCTGATAGCACAAATACCAGTAATCAGACTTGGTTCAAATTTTATTTGCTAATTGGCTAATAGGACCTCTACTCAAGAAGGAATTTCTAATATGATGTCTTTTCACGTCATTGGTGCAGATTTTGTCAAAAGGGAGACAACTCTACTCTGTCATAATATTCAGACTATTTATTTGATTAATTATCCCACCGAACGAAGTTCGAGAGGGATATAGGAAAGCCGTCCGTCCGTCTGTCCGTCCGTCTGTCCGTCCGTCCGTCCGTTCGTCCGTCCGTCCGTCTGTTTGTCCGGGCGATAACTCAAATACCGTTTCACGGATTTGATTCAAATTTTATAGGCTTATGCCTTATGGGTGTAGGACCTCTGCTCGAGAAGGAATTTTCAATATGGCCACTGAATTCAAAATGGCCGCCATTTTTCGTAAAAAATGTAATCTTTAATAACTCAAATACTAGTTTGCGGATTTGGTTCAAATTTTATATGCTGATGCCTAGGGACAAAGGAGTTTCGCTCAAAAAGAGATTTTCAAGATGGCCGCTTAATTTCAAAATGGCGGACATTTTTCGTAAAAATATGTAATCTTTGATAACTCAAATACCAGTGAACAGATTTGGTTCAAATTTTATATGATGATGCTTAGGGACACAGTAGCTATGTTTGACAAAACATTTTCAAGATGGCCGCTTAATTTCAAAATGGCAGCAATTTTTCGTAAAAATATGTAATCTTTGATAACTCAAATACAAGTGAACGGATTTTGTTGAAATTTTATACGATTATGCCTAGGGACACAGTAGCTCTGTTCAAGAAATAATTTTCAAGATGGCGGCTGAATTTCAAGATGGCGGCCCATATTCGTAAAAAACATAATCTTTGATAACTCATATACCAGTAAATGGATTTGGTTCAAATTTTACATGCTGATGCCTAGGGACAAAGGAGTTTCGCACAAAAAGAGCTTTTCAAGATGGCCGCTTAATTTCAAAATGGCGGCCATTTTTCGTAAAAATATGTAATCTTTGATAACTCAAATACCAGTGAACGGATTTGGTTCAAATTTTATATGATGATGCTTAGGGACACAGTAGCCATATTGGACAAAACATTTTCAAGATGGCCACTTCTTCAAAATGGCAGCAATTTTTCGTAAAAAACGTTATCTTTGATAACTCAAATGCCAGTGAACAGATTTGGTTGAAATTTTATATGATTATGCCTAGGGACACAGTAGCTCTGTTCAAGAAATAATTTTCAAGATGGTGGCTGAATTTCAAGATGGCGGCCCATATTCTTAAAAAACGTAATCTTTGATAACTCATATACCAGTGAACGGATTTGGTTCAAATTTTATATGATGATGCCTAGTTCACAATGGTATAAACTAACTTTGTGCCAAATTTCATGCTTCTATCACAAAGTACACAAACATTTCGTCATTTACACTAGCTATAATAAGCATAATATGTTTTGTTCGGTGGGATTTGCTACTCCGTGGAGTTGCTGTTTTTCTAGTTATCTTTTGTTCAGCAGGATTTGCTACTCTGTGTAGATGCTGTTTTTCTCGTTCAGTGCTGTTTAACTCAGCTTTGCCAATATTGCCAAATTATTATAACTAAAGTCATATACATGTATACAGGTATGATGTAATGATTATTAGCATTTTCTTTAACTATGGAAAAGTGTACATGTATGTAATTAAAGCAATTAATAATGCAGTAAGTTTGTTTTATCTTTCTCCTATTGTATATTTTGATGATTAGTTCACACAAGGATGCCTTGGTTTACAAAATGCTAAACAAAAAAAGGAATCAGGCTAATAGATTCTGTATAAAGGCAATAAAAAGTAAATTATGGAACGACCTGTACTCATAGCATCTTAAGTTTGACAAACAAAAATCAGTGCTAAATGGCAATAATTTTATTTTGGAAATTCTTGAAAAGCAAACATTATATTTTCCCTTGTTTTGTATAAAAATGTAAAATGTAAAAAGTGATAAGATAAGTGAATAAATAAAATACCTTGACTTGTTAATATATGAGCTGGTGTTTTTTTCCATTTCACTTTTACACTCATTATGTCCGTAACAGTTAGTAAGTTGATCTATAAAAAATGGATGAAATATCTAGAAGGAAATCAACTGGTAAATGGAATTGATGGACACGTCACTATGTTATGAAGAAGAGGCAATTAATTAAAGAACCTTTAATTAGAGAACATGAAGCATTAATGTTTTATGGGTCATGTCATCAAGTAATTAAAGGACAATGATTGCAAAGATTGGAAGAAATATATTATGAATTATTCAGCTTGGAAATATACCTGCAGATGGTCAATGTTTCTGTTCTGGGTCGCTATGAATTATTTTGTAACCATATTTTCTATGGAGTTTTGTTTATTTACTTGGTCGCTATGTTATTATAGATCCTTGATTCTTATGTATTTTTCATTCTGGCATCACAGTACTGATAAGCTACATCTCTATCCTATGACATCATTTACATTGGACAGTGCTGCTACCACAAAATGTGAAATACATTTGGACCAAGGATATCCCATGATGCATTAGACCTGGTTTGAACAATGGTGGGACTGATTCACCTCTGTTGACATGTTATAAGTTCTGATAACCTCTTTTGACAATATAACACAATAAAAGTTAATTAAAAATACAATTACTGGCATTTATTGTCCCAAAGAGATTGTTATCATAAATAATACAGCTAGATTGACTTATTCTGAAGTAGAAATCTGTGTAATTTTTGTTTTCATCGAACAAGAGATCTGCATGCAATATTGTTTCCAAGTCATGGCCTCAGTTGAATTTGGTCTTCCTTTATTTCGTTTGTATAACTTAAAAGACTCAAATCATTCAAAATAAATACACATAGTACTTAAGTAGAATTTCATAAAAATATATTCATTCATTGACAAAGGCAAGGCAACTTACCTTTGATCTTACTTTGTTTTTGCGACTGACATTTTGCTGATTTCCTGTATTTCTGAATTTTACTACTACTGGTACATGTACATTTATTTGTTTCCTCAGAATTTCAAGAATTATTTTGCTCATTAAAACTGTTGGAATGATTTTATGAATTTTAGAACTCACAAAATCAATGATAAGCAAATACTGTATTATTTTACCAGAAGTACAGTTTGTGTTTAGAATATTATTAATATGACTTGTTTTGCAGTTAATACCTAGAAACCTATTTCTTTACCTTTGGTGATATCATATCACTAATTATAATGTATCAGTTTAATAAAGATTTGTGTCACTTCTAAGGATCTTATCATAAATTATGATTACTTTGTTTGTTTCAGTTAACTCTATTTAATTATCTTTCTAGCAGTAACATTTTCTCATTAACTTATTCAGCCTAGTTCCAATTTCACAACTTTTTATACAGTCAGTTGTGTTCCAGTCCTTATGATAGAACCATATCAAAAACTATAATTCTAATGATCATAATTTCCAAAGTAAGCATATGTTGAATAGGCTTGGATTTAGTCTTGCATGCAGTATTTGGGTCCCTTTCCTTATCTGCAAATGGTCAGGTGGGGGGGGGGGGTCACGATGGCTAAGCCAATTGTTGGCCATCTTTCTTTAAAAAAAAGAAAATGTTTCAAAAAATGACTTTGAATTGATGGTTTCTTTATTTCAACATGTGTTCACTTTAACAAGTATATACTGTAGATATACATGTACATGTATAGATACATGTATGTAGATAAGAGGTTTCAGTATACGACAGGTATGCAATATATTGCAGGTAGCCTATGAGATAATAATGTGTTTCCAAACAACTTAAGTACCAGTTAAACATGTGATAAATACTGTAAGTCTGTATCTATGTCTTGCATTAAAGGGTGTTCCAAAAATATACCCAAATAACTCAGGAGAACTTTCACATGATAAGGAAATGTATAAGCAGTATTAGCAGAAATCTGTGCATTGCCTCCTGAAAAATATGACATTTTAGATGACATGCTCTAAATTACCCCCATCATAATTGATGCAGAGTTATTTT